ATCTATGACAGATAGCGGATCTAACTGCAATTCTTGTTTTAACCTAGCTCGGGCTGGGGCATGATCTTGACATTCTAGTAACACGTGATCAATAGTTTCAACCTGATTGCAAGATGAACAAACCTTGTCATAGTGCTTTTTGTGACCAAGTCTGAGGCGTGAGATAGCAATTTCAATTTTCCTTTCATTTCAGTATGAGTTTGGCTTTTTTTGGACCTTGGGTTGATCTGACAGATAGTAATTTTCTCTATACAGGCATGCAACAGACTATAGGTAATCCCCCTATTGTTACCCACTTAACCACGGCTGACTACACCTGTACCCTATCACAATAGGTGAGGGCACAGTGATGTGTTCCCGTATCACAGAGTCACTAATCCATTCCAAGCCGAGGATTTAAACTCACTAAACCCTTATACAAACTCAAACAGCACACTCGACTTCAGCGGCATCATCCTCTACGGGGTATTGCAGACAAACAAGACCAGCACGGACTACCATTGGCCGACTTGATTGCCAAACAAATCTAGTAGCATTCGTCACCACTCGCCCCTTTCCGTAACCTGCAAGAAGACTCGTCCCCCTATCGATGAATGTTATGTGCGAAAATACGACAAACCAATCAGAATTCGCGTATGATTTCAAGTTCTTTGTCAAAGAATCCCTCAGAAATAATATTTGATTTTACATGTGTCTTGCATCTTAAAATATACCCAAGACACAGTTAAATGTGTTCAAACATACTGTATAAGTCCGCATGTCCAGATCTGCTTTAAATTGTATCTAAAATATATATAATATATGGGGAAATATGTGTGAACCATTACACAACGAGTTGACAATTGTTTTTCGTATGCCCGTTTGCGCAAAGACGGAACCCGGTTGCAAAAATGGCCACGAGAGGGGCACGAGTCGCTATTCGGCTTGCCCCGGAATAACACGAGTTGGTCACGAATGATCTAGTAGTTCTTAGAAACAACCAACCGACCTAAAACAACAAGAGGCCGTGCGTCAATGGCATTCTCCTCTACGGGGTATTGCAGACAAACAAGACCAGCTCGGACTACCATTGGCCGACTGGATTTATTTACCAAACAAAATCTAGTAACTTCTTTGATTGGCATTTAGAAGTTGGAGTACTAAGTAAGGATAAGAATTTATGGATGAACAACTTCTATGTTACAATAAAGAGCGACGTTTCGGTGTAGGAGCTAACACCGTTAAAGGTTGGAAGAATGGATGTACTTGTTCTCAGGGTTGTTGAGTCGGTTGATGTTTTTACCGACACCGAAACGTCGCTCTAAATTGCAATAAAGAAGTTGTTCATCCATAAATTCTTATCCTTTCTCAAAATTTAGTTGTTCTAAACAACAACCAACCGACCAGGATAGATACATGCCGCAATAGTATGTCAGCTATTGACATCACTTCGTGAACATGTGATTTCGCTGATTTAGCCAAATGGGAAGTAGCAGAGGTGCACTGGGTCAATGACCGCTTACCCATTCGAACAACTATAGGTAATACATACACAAATGCTAATGATAATAATACCGGCTCACCTAGGTTTAATCTATTAGTAAGCAAAGCCATCTGGCCACCTTTCACAAATCTGTGCAGCCAAATAAAACCAGAAGATATCACCGTCTCAGATGCCGACAAATTTGCCACAAACTTCACCATCTGTAAGTGTGGGTTATTACCACGTGTGGATCTGTAAGTATGGGTTGTGTCCATGTGGGGATCTGTAAGTGAGAGTTGTGTCCACGTGGGGATCTCTAAGTGTGGGTTGTGTCCACGTGCGGATCTGTAAGTGAGAGTTGTGTCCACGTGGGGATCTGTAAGTGAGGGGTTGTATCCACGTGGGGATCTGTAATTGTAGGGTTGTGTCCACGTGGGGATCTGTAATTGTAGGGTTGTGTCCACGTGGGGATCTGTAATTGTAGGATTGTGTCCATGTGGGGATCTGTAAGTGTGGGTTATGTCCACGTGGGGATCTGTAATTGTAGGGTTGCATCCACGTGGGGATCTGTAATTGTAGGGTTGTGTCCATGTGGGGATCTGTAGTTGTAGGGTTGTGTCCATGTGGGGATCTGTAAGTGTGGGTTATGTCCACGTGGGGATCTGTAATTGTAGGGTTGCATCCACGTGGGGATCTGTAATTGTAGGGTTGTGTCCATGTGGGGATCTGTAGTTGTAGGGTTGTGTCCATGTGGGGATCTGTAAGTGTGGGTTATGTCCACGTGGGGATCTGTAATTGTAGGGTTGTGTCCACGTGGGGATCTGTAAGTGTGGGTTATGTCCACGTGGGGATCTGTAATTGTAGGGTTGTGTCCATGTGGGGATCTGTAAGTGTGGGTTGTGTCCACGTGGGGATCTGTAATTGTAGGGTTGTGTCCATGTGGGGATCTGTAATTGTAGGGTTGTGTCCATGTGGGGATCTGTAATTGTAGGGTTGTGTCCATGTGGGGATCTGTAAGTGTGGGTTATGTCCACGTGGGGATCTGTAATTGTAGGGTTGTGTCCATGTGGGGATCTGTAAGTGTGGGTTATGTCCACGTGGGGATCTGTAATTGTAGGGTTGTGTCCACGTGGGGATCTGTAATTGTAGGGTTGTATCCACGTGGGGATCTGTAATTGTAGGGTTGTGTCCATGTGGGGATCTGTAATTGTAGGGTTGTGTCCATGTGGGGATCTGTAAGTGTGGGTTATGTCCACGTGGGGATCTGTAATTGTAGGGTTGCATCCACGTGGGGATCTGTAATTGTAGGGTTGTGTCCATGTGGGGATCTGTAGTTGTAGGGTTGTGTCCACGTGGGGATCTGTATTTGTAGGGTTGTGACCATGTGGGGATCTGTAATTGTAGGGTTGTGTCCACGTGTTGATCTGTGAGTGTGGGTTATGTCCACGTGTTGATCTGTAATTGTAGGGTTGTGTCCATGTGGGGATCTGTAATTGTAGGGTTGTGTCCATGTGGGGATCTGTAATTGTAGGGTTGTGTCCACGTGTTGATCTGTGAGTGTGGGTTATGTCCACGTGTTGATCTGTAATTGTAGGGTTATGTCCACGTGTTGATCTGTAATTGTAGGGTTGTGTCCATGTGGGGATCTGTAATTGTAGGGTTGTGTCCACGTGGGGATCTTTAATTGTAGGGTTGTGACCATGTGGGGGTCTGTAATTGTAGGGTTGTGTCCATGTGGGGATCTGTAATTGTAGGGTTGTGTCCACGTGGGGATCTTTAATTGTAGGGTTGTGACCATGTGGGGATCTGTAATTGTAGGGTTGTGTCCATGTGGGGATCTGTAATTGTAGGGTTGTGTCCACGTGTTGATCTGTAATTGTAGGGTTGTGTCCATGTGGGGATCTGTAATTGTAGGGTTGTGTCCACGTGTTGATCTGTAAGTATGGGTTGTGTCCACGTGTTGATCTGTAATTGTAGGGTTGTGTCCCTGTGGGGATCTGTAATTGTAGGGGGGTGTCCACGTGGGGATCTTTAATTGTAGGGTTGTGACCATGTGGGGGTCTGTAATTGTAGGGTTGTATCCGCGTGGGGATCTGTAATTGTAGGGTTGTGTCCACGTGGGGATCTGTATTTGTAGGGTTGTGTCCATGTGGGGATCTGTAATTGTAGGGTTGTGTCCATGTGGGGATCTGTAATTGTAGGGTTGTGTCCACGTGGGGATCTGTAATTGTAGGGTTATGTCCACGTGTTGATCTGTAATTGTAGGGTTGTGTCCATGTGGGGATCTGTAATTGTAGGGTTGTGTCCACGTGTTGATCTGTAATTGTAGGGTTGTGTCCACGTGTTGATCTGTAATTGTAGGGTTGTGTCCATGTGGGGATCTGTAATTGTAGGGTTGTGTCCACGTGGGGATCTGTAATTGTAGGGTTATGTCCACGTGTTGATCTGTAAGTGTTGGGTTGTGTCCACGTGGGGATCTGTAATTGTAGGGTTGTGTCCACGTGTTGATCTGTAATTGTAGGGTTGTGTCCATGTGGGGATCTGTAATTGTAGGGTTGTGTCCACGTGGGGATCTGTAATTGTAGGGTTATGTCCACGTGTTGATCTGTAATTGTAGGGTTGTGTCCATGTGGGGATCTGTAATTGTAGGGTTGTGTCCACGTGTTGATCTGTAGGTGTTTGGTTGTGTCCACGTGGGGATCTGTAATTGTAGGGTTGTGTCCACGTTTTGATCTGTAAGTGTTGGGTTGTGTCCACTTGTGGATCTGTAAGTGTGGGGTTGTGTCCACGTGGGGATCTGTTAATGTGGGGTTGTATCCATGAGGGGATTTGTGTAGGGTTATGTCTATTTTTAGATCTGTAAGTGTGGAGATAATTTTGTACCTAAGTGTCAAATGTCTAGATTTCAGTTATATCATTACAGCGTGTCGGCATTACATTATATGCACATCCCCTCACCCCTTTCAACCCTTCCGTGAACCATTGAAGCTATAGTAAAAACTTTATTTACTGCAAACGCAGTTCAGTTATTTTTTGTTTATTTTGTGGAAATACACAAAATAACATTATCTCATCTTTACATAATCGCACCCCCCATGCCCAATACACACAGAACATATAAAAATTAATAATCATGTTCATGGCGCAGAAATACTTCTTTAAGAAGTTGTTTAATGTTTGTCTGCTGTTAAACGCCCCACTCAGCAATATTCCAGCTATATGACGGCGACCTGTCAATGAGCCTGCGACTGAAATCCAGTGACTGACATCATGAGCATCGATCTAAGCAATTGGGATACGATGACATGCATCAACCAAGTCAGTGAGTCCACCCGATCCCCGTAAGTCGCATCTTACTGTAATCAAGGGCTGCTGAAGACCTATTCGAACCCGCGCCCTCAAAGGTGAAATAGTGAGTGGGTGAGTGAGTATGGTTTTACGCCGCTTTTAGCAATATTCCAGCAATATCACGGCGGGGGACACCAGAAATGGGCTTCACACATTGTACCCATGTCGGGAATCGAACCCGGGTCTTCGGCGTGACGAGCGAACGCTTTAACCACTAGGCTACCCGACCGCCCCTCAAGGGTGAAATAAATAAATAATGATAATAATAATAAGACACTTGTACATAAAATATTAATACAACCAGAAATATAAACGTAACTTTGAAACCATGAAATCAAAGATCCTTCCGTTTCCAGCTCTGCCATGTGTAGGAATACTGAAAAGTACGTCTGTGTGTCCTAGACAACAATGTCGTGATCTGGCAGTAACGGCACTTCTCACTGGCTATTCCCGGAAGGTCAAGGTGAAACTGAAACTGGATATTTTTCAGATATTTCACTATTTCGGATGATATCATCAGTTCAAGCAACTCATATTCACACCCCTCACAGTTGATTGTGACCAGATCTATGGGGTTGGTATACACACCAATATGTTCAAAGAAGCCCTTGATTTCATGAATATAAGCTACCTCCTTCTTGGTCTTGTTCGACGCATGTTTCGCCCGAAATAGTGACGTGGCATCGGAATCTATATTCAGAAGTAAGGTCTTGTCCTTCTTGCCGAGACCAAATTTGAATAGTTTGTATTTGGGATTACTTTTATACCGCCGTTCCAAAATAGTGTAATAACGGGGTACAGGTTCGAGAGCCAAATAATGAGGGTTGTATTTCTTGATAAGCTTGGCCGCATCTTGACCAGTGTATCCTCCAACTTCTAACACCCGACTGTCAGTTGTTAAATAGGAATGACTGTCAACACGCTCTATCTCCATCTTGCGGCGATTCATGGTCGCATGTGTGGCCCTGAAACTGGCAAAGTTGGCCTCACATGTAGAAATCTTCATTTTCTCTTCTTTGGTTTGTGAAATGTTGACGCCACATCTCTCCGAAAAAAAACGTTCGGGGCCATGGCTAACCTGGTGTGCTGACTGGAAGATGACGGGTGGTACCAAGACTCCTTGCCATGCGGCCAGTGACAGACCAAGAACGATACCCAGGAGGACGAGAGCAAATCTCCGCCAGACCGCAGGGGACGTCATATTCCTCTAAAAAAGTGAAAACAAATATCATTCATACATAATTCATTTTGTAAACACATTTGGAACGAGTGAGTATCGTTTTACACCGCTTATAGCAAAGTTCCAACAAAATCACGGCGGGGGTTACATGTTATACCCATGTGGGGGGTCGAACCCATATCCATGTGGTGAATTGAACCCAGTTTTTTGGTGTAACGAGCAGGTATCATAATGAATTCCATATACACCAGCAAGGCGTGAGAACGCATTTCTTGTCCATTTCTGGAAACATTCCGTTGAAAAAACGACAAGGGTAGATATGGATTTCTTATGAAGGCCTAGTGGGAGCATAATTTTATTTTTGCTAAATCGAAATAAATATTTACTCGTTATTTCGAGGTTATTTCTCGTTACTTCGATTATTTTCTGGTAATGTCATTTTCGTTCTTGTTATTTCAAGCAGAGACCGTATACCTATATGTGCCATCTGTTTCAAGTCTATTTCAAAAACTCTAAATTAGATTCACGTTGATTGCAAGATGGACATGACTTGTTACAGTGCTTTTTGTGACTTTTTTCAACTTTCCTTTCATCTGCGTATGGGTGTGGCATTTGGTGGATCTTGGGTTCAATTTTAGCAAATCAGTGTCGATCTGATGTGATGTTAAGTGATATACATTGACACATTTTACTGTGTCTAATATTAATTGCATTGATGTCTAAAGAAAATTTAGTTTATGTATTAACGTCTCTGCTCAGAACTGGCTTGTTTGAACAACAATGGATTGAAAACGAAAATTGCATTGATCTTAAACATAGTTAATTGATGTGATTGGTTCTATATTATTTTGTTGTTGTTGTTGTTGTTGTTGTTGTTGTTTATACAGTAATGAGTATTTAATACTTCTACTCAGTTATTAATTTTCGTTATTAACGTTTTATACAGGAATCTGCAACAGTACAAACCTGACAAATAATAAGTCAGACGATCATGGTTCAGTCCATTTACATAAATAAGGATGAAACTGATTTCCTAATGTTCCGACATTCATTTCTGTGGGAAAATTGAGATGTAGGCACAATAAGAGTGATGGGTCACATCTTACGGTCAATTCATGTGTTTTTCATCTGTTTCATACGGTCATAATATGATTCTGCAAAACTATGTAAAATGTGTATCTACCCTCCACGTCCTGTCATCGATGTCCTACGGAGAGGTGGCGATACCATCACTTTCATGTGTAGAACTGTATTGCCATGAGGGGTTGGGAGAGATGTGAGTGATATCTATCACCATTTAGCGATACGGTCATAATATTTTTAGGCAAAACAATGTGTATAGCGCACCGAAAGCCTTACATTTTCATGCACCTCACTGTCACAGTTCTAATATATCTATATAATTATGCAAAACGATGTAAAACAAACCGAAATCCTTCCATTATCCATGTTCTTATTTCAGAAAAATCCGGCTGTTTACACACAAGAGAAATGTCCGGTCACATGATAAGCCTACACATGTGTAGTCATTGGAGCAGAAACGGAATACGGCGAGCAGTGCCGAGTAAGCTCGGGGGTTATCGGCTTCTGCTCACAAACAAGGCTTCCGAACGAGCAACGTCCTGTCCCTTTAATTTGTCATTTACACCACAGATAGCATCATCAATTTAAAAACCACGATTAAAGTAAGAAGTTCTTCTAGAATGTGAAATAATGTACATTTGAGTATAAAGGTTAGCATCTCCATGTGGGGGAACAAGAGGGGGGAACAAGAGGGGGTGGGGGAGATGTAGCTGATATCTATCACCATTGAGTTATTGACTGGCAAATGATTCCAATTTCCAATACTATCCCAAGAGGATGGATGAAGGATGGAAGTTTTGTAAGACACAGAAAATAAAATATCAATTCGCAAATCTCTTGCTGAGCAGGGGGTACGGTGGCACAGTCGTCTAAGGCGCCGCGATTCGCCGTGCAGAGTTGCGTCACTTGGGCACGCCAGAAACCTATGATTGTGGGTTAGAATCCCGGTTCGCCCCGATTATGTTTCTAGGTTTGTCAGCACCATACCCGTGCTCGTGGGTTTCACCGAAGTGGTAAACGTCTGAGACCTGCATCACTTCGGGATTTCCTCCCACATTAAGCTGACACGCCATGATATAACTGGAATATATACATACATATAATGTGAGAGGTGGGAAATTTAGCTACGAAATCAGAAGACTCACAGGAAACAATAACAAACTCCTCGATTCAACAACGAAAGAGAAAGAAAGGATAGATAGTGATAGGTAATTTATTAATCATGGCGACGACTGTCGTCTCTTAAACATTTTAAAAAGCGCTGCGGTAAGCAAATAATATTGAACAAGCAACTGCAAGTAACAAATGTAAAATAAACATAGAGAATCCAATGTTATTTAGGTAACAACACACAAAAGGGGCTTACCTTAAAGTAGACCGAAGAACAGTGAAGACAGATGACGCACAGCAGTGTGTGCGTTCCAAATTGTATTACGGGAGCAGAGTGATTTGGATGGATCTGCCCTGCTCGTATTACCCAAAATGTGGATGACGTAGAACGCACGTTTTCTTGACGTTTCCTCTGATTGGTCAAATTGTATCCTTTTATATTATGGCATTGAATTGAGATATACATTTAAACAAGGGAGCCTAAGGCAATTGAAACCTTGGCTGGACTACTTAAGGCAGTTTATAGACCAAGCTAGTAACACCTCCCAATACAGCCCAGAGCATTTGTTATTGGCAAGCCCAGGAGATCACCACCAGCGGTAAATTAAGCACCAATTACACTACAAACAAAATATCGAACTGGTATTACAACTCAGGGAGTCAGATGCCTCTGGGTAGTGTCATCAGGGAAAGGTTTCATCACCGTGGCAGAAGGCATCACCGCCAACAAACTACAGAAGCAAGTACCGGATATAACAGGCACCCACGTCCGCTACACTAGCAAAACTAAACAACAACCCAAACTGAAGACCCCCACCCCCACCCCCAAGGTTCCAACGGCCAGGAAGGAGCTCAAGTATTCCTCTACCAAACCTAACGGTGCTGTATACACTCCACAACCACTAAAACGATAAACGCAAACAATCTACGTGTACCCAATTTCACTTCAAAGCGACATTCACCACTACTAAAGCCACACAAAAAAAACCGAAGCGATATTCAGTAAAACAACATCAAGGCTCAACTGGCATGGTTTCTATGTCATCTAATAGCAAATCCCAAAACAACATCTCATCCAGCGTATATAGCAGCTGCGTATCTCAATTTGTAACCATACAAGTATGAAATGCTAAAAAGCAAAACTAATTATCTTCGAATGGTAGTCAACAACACCAAATTCATCTAATACCAAAACAACAACTTTAAAAAAAGTTCTTAATAGTCTTTCCTAATGACAGGCACAAATCTACAAATCTTACAATGGAAACCAAATGGTCTCTCACAACACAGTCCGACATGACCGGCCCAAAACAACAAGAGGCCGTGCGGTTTAACCTCGGTTTGCCGGCACCCTGAATGTTATGATAAGAGATTAAATGTGCCAGCAATTTAGAAGTTTATCTAAAGGATTATAGGGACCAGTGAACCCTGCTTCATTAACGGTGACGCGTGGCTGACACGAATTGGTGAACACTTTTCAGTATAATCAGTGTCAAACGTGAGTTTCATATCATGCTGAACGAATTTATTAATCATTTAATCAACTATGGCTATAAAATGACGAACCAGGAAGGATAGGGTGTCAAAATGGCTAATGCACAGGTTTAGGTGAGATTTGTTGAAAATAAGCATGGTGGACAGAATTTGGTGTACAGATTCCGTATAAAGAGCAGAAGAAATACAACAATTCACTGGCGTTGCTGTATGAAAGATTGTACAGCAACTATCAATACAGCAAACAACATCATCACCACATACGGCAACAACCACAATTAATTGACATTATAAAAAAAAGAACAGTGTTTTGTAGAGTCACTGCTCCTGCAAATCCAGGCTGGTGGGTCACTTCCTCCAAAGAGGAGGAAGTACCACAATGCGGATAGCGGTATTGAGAGGGAAAAGCAGGAGTTGTTGGCAGAGCTCAAGTCACCAACAGAATATGCTGATTCGGTGGCAAGATTTATTGGTTTGTGAATTGTATGTGAAGTGTAAATAATTAATTTAATTTCTGACTTTAAGTTTATATATTTTGTATGTATGAACACATGTATGATTTATAATGTATGCTGTATGTACATGAGAAATAAAATAACGAAAGTCATGTTGCCCTCTTTTAAATCCCTTTTTAATCCTCATAATCCCTCTATTGTACACTTGTCAGTAACGGTTGGGTAATTTTTAACCCAGAACAATAGGTGCCGGCAAACCGAGGTGTCCCCTTGCAGACAAACAAGACCAGCACGGACTACCATTGGCCGAGTTCTTAACAACAACCAACCGACCACAATCGACAGGGCAATAATCAAACTACAGTCAGGGCACACTAAACTAAACACCTATACAGGTAAAACCCTCACTGTAACCAAATAGAAACACCTGAACACGCACTATTACACTGCACACAACACAGAGCAACCCTCAAATCCACAAAAAAAACTATAACAAACAAATGTCTCTGGCAACACTTCTAAACCCACTAAACGACCTACAAAACGCAAATGCATTAGGCATTAGGCATTTTCCTAATTAAAACTAGAACGCATCTAATAACTACAAAATCATTCTATACCACGCTAAAACCCTAAAACAAAAAATACATATTTAAAAACACAACACACAACCACACTCCTCTAGTTCCCCAACCTATATCACGGCATTCTTCCAAATGCCAAATTTCCCCAAAATTCAATAAGCAACCCTAAAGTCCCCCAGGTTGCCCTTACTTTTCGGACATACCCTACTTGGCAAAACCACAAATTGGCCTCTCTCTCTCTCTCTGATTCTCGCCAAAAGAGATCCAATCTCACCCCCACAGGCAAGGATCCTAAAAAGCAAAACCAAAAATCTAATAAAAGAAACTAAACGCGCCCACTGGCGAAAATTCATTTCAAATTCATCCAAAACTCAAACCCTAAGGCTATGTGGCAGAAACTAAAAGCAATCAAAGGCATAAAATATAGTAGCAAAATACCTAATATAGACAAAAGTACAGGTCCAAAACATAATAAAGTGCAGGGCAAAAGAAAGTATACACTTTAAAACAGGACTTGACCAAAATATTACAAACCTTATCAAAACGTCACAGTCAACTACGTTCCCCTATTAAAATTGTTTTCATTTTAAGCTATCACCAACAAGGATGTATACTTTTTTTGGCCCGACAGTTTAATAGGTTGTTCTTAACCTCGCTTTGAGCACATGTATGACGACGTGTCAGCTTCATGTAGATGAAGAAGGAAATCGTCGTCGTCGTCATCATCATCATCATCATCATCTAAGTGATGCAAGAGGAAGACATGTGCCAGGGGTTCGATTCTCTGCCGCGTCATACTAAAAGATGTTAAAAGCTGGTACTTGTTGTTACCCTGCCTGGCGCTCCACAGCCACACACGGATTTACACAAACACGCTTGCATGCATGTCGCTACATAAGTCAAATAATCTTGGACACGGCGTTTTACCCCCATTTCACATAACCTCACCTCAGCCTTAGGGGCGTCTGAGATTGACTGAGTGTCAGCCTCTTTGACTTGGTTGATTCTCCGCAATAGCGTCTCTACATTTCCTCAAAGAATTTTTATTCATTACCAAATACTACCTCTTCTCATTTTGACCCATGTTTTTCAATACTTTTTGCGTATAATCTTAGAAAAGGAGTCTCTTAAAATTCCTTGAAGTGCAGGTCTCATAGGTGCAACTAATACAGAAATGTACCTCAAGCTATTTACACAGCTTTTGCTGAAGGAGTGCAAAATAATTGTGACACATTTTGCTCAACTGGTAAGTTATGGTTGTTTGTTCTGATTTATTTTTTTTTAAAATAGGGTACGATATTGATTTTGGTAGTTTCAGATATTTTTCGATTGATGGTAAGATTTTAAAGCGTTGATAATACAACAGTATCAAAATTACCATATATTTTTCTTTTTATCAAATTCCAATATATTCTACAACTTTACATTTAACATTCCCAAGCCAGTAAACTCTACATAGTTTTCAGAACGTGTATAATACTAGCTGGTAGGCTATTGATATAGTGCTATTGACATTCTAGACACGGTTCGCCAACTCCAGACGGTTGACCAGCCGTGAACAATTGACACGCCAAGCCCGCATGTCGAAACTTGCATAATATGACAAACATGTGTTAAGTGTATTGTTAAAGATCCAAACTGGACAGACGGATATGACCTGCTTTCAAACGTGGACAGGAGGTCTCGGGTATAAATAAAAAGGTAGCTCGCCAGGTCTCTATGGTGCAATCGGTCTGTACTTAAAGGCAAACCAATCAAATTCGAAAAATCCGCAAATGTTCTTGGGGTTATCCAAGATCATCACCTTACTTGGAGTAAACATATAGAAAACTTGGAGTAAACATGTGGAGAACTTGGAGTAAACATGTGGAAAACAGGTGGCATAAGGGCCTGAACGTATTGCTGTGTAATTTCAGGCACATCTTGGGGTACATCTCGGGACACTCAGGTAGACCTATACTAATTGCTATTCAGATGAAAAATAGACTATGGTTGTAAGACCTTTCAATCGGCATCAAATACTGTCTTGGGCCGCCTCGACAGAATACAATACAGAGCCCTAATGCTGACCACAGGTGCCGCAACAGGTACTTCACTAGAAGCACTACAAGTAGTAACAGCAGAACTTTCATTGATACTTTGAGCAGGCAATGGTATCGTTCTGGGGACGAACATCAAACCATTTGGTGAAAAAGTTATGGCAAGACAAAAACACCCGAGAAGAAGCCCTAGCTTGGATAAAATCCCTCACAAAAGCCATCTTGGATATTAGTACGTGAACTCAACCGAAGTCACAATTGTAATGACATTCAACCAACAGACAATCACTAAAAAAATGGTTACACCCTCCCTGGACCTTAAAACGCCCCAAAGTTGACACAGCTTTAACATCAGAATAACTGAGAACAGAAAACCCAACCATATTACGATCAATAGCTGTCACTAATATTCAAACTTCCTGAGACAGCTGGGCCCATATATACAATGCAGTCATCCTATCAGACTTCAAGCCATCAGCGGCTGAAACTCAAACTCGAGACCAAACACAGTCAATATTATTCTATATCAATATACAAAGCTATCAAACAAGTCTTCGGTTATAGACGGTCATTCAAACAGACTGTTTCAATAATAATGGCCTTTCGAGCTGTTTGTTATAGAGCTCCCCAATGACATTAACGTTAATTCAACATTTGAGATATGTCATTTTCTTCCACATAAACTTGGTCTTGATAAAACGACGGTGAGGCCACACCAAGTTGATATATTTTCGATACAATTTAACACCACTTCCGGTTACAATTTAGTGAGTGAGTGAGAGAGTGAGTTGGGTTTAACGCCGCTTTTAACAGTATTCCAGTTATATTGCGGCGTGTCAGCTTAATGTGGTAGGAAAGCCCGAAGTGATGCAGGTCTCAGACGTTTACCACTTCGGTGAAACCCGCGAGCACGGGTATGGTGCTGACAAACCTGGAAACATAATCGGGGGCGAACCGGGATTCGAACCCACAATCATAGGTTTCTGGCGTACCCGAGGGACGCAACTCTGCAAGGCGAATCGCGGCGCCTAAGACGACTGGGCCACCCGTGCCCACATTAATTTAGTGTAAATACCTTCGTTTTCATATTCAGTTTGTAAAAAACATAAATGATTACTTCGTAAATCATTAAATGCAGGGCAGCTCAACAGAAAATGTAGTTCATCGTCAATTACACCAGTATTACAATGTTTACAAATTCTTAAGGAATAATCTAATCCATCTCGTCTTTCTGTATTACATCTTAATGGCAACTAACTTAACGGTAATAAGCATAAATATAAATATGTATATACTTTTACTTAAATTACGGTACTCGATATTGTTAAATTGTCCATGCTCGTTTAAGAATTGGATGCAGTGATATTAATGGTCAAAGCAAAGACATATATCAAACATGGCAGCATGTTAGTGCGGTTTTGATTTGGAGTCTCCACTTCACTTCCTCTTAACTTGTCCTACGTATCGTAACATTAGAAGCAGTATGTACTACTGTGTTTTGATCTGAAAACAACATTGTATGGTAACAGGACCTAAAGAAGAGATGTCAACCACAATATACCTATGTCTGTCCATGATGTTATAGAAAATAGTGGTGGTTTTGTACATTGAGTACAGATATATGTTAAGCTTATACACATATGACTATAGTTTTGTACCACGAGTGGTCTTCTTACAATATAATTGGCATTGCTTCATGACCTTAAAGTTTTCATGTCAACACAAATGTAATTATGTAACAGGGAGCGGCATTTATATAATCCCTTTCAAGTTAAGGTGAAAAAAATATGTTTAAACTATACAAATATCTTACTCATAACATTGAACAAAGTGATACATCTGTAGTTATTTCGATCATTCACATTACCCTTCTTAAATAATCGTACAATCAAGCATGTGGTCCCTTTCTCGGGAAAAGTACCTGTATGTAATATCTGGTTGAATAAAATATGTGACTAAGGAAGCATCAATGCACCTAAAATACTCTGCAGGAATACAATCGTTTCCTGGGGCTTTACCAGTTTTTAGCGTTTCTACAGCTTTTAAAACTTAAAATTCAGTAAAATCACAAGAAAGGTCATCGGGTAGTTGTAAACATGTCACACAGGTCTCAGGGTCATGATTTGTGAGATAAAAATCCTCTTCTTCAGAAATGTTAGGACTGGACAATTCATCTTGGTTTTCACCATTGTATAAACTGCTGAAGATTCTCCGGAGTCTTTGGACCTATGTTGTTTTCAGTAAACATTCTATAAGATAATTTCTTAATTAATTCCCCAAATGTCTAAGTATCCTTCAACTGCAGCCTAAGATAAATAGTTGACAACTAATATTTGAAATAACTGCTGTGTCGAATGACAAAGATGTTTAACTTTGTTTTGGCTTCCTTAAATAACAAGAAACTTAAGTGAGTGGAATATTTACGAAATAAATTAAACTTAAAATATCTTTTCTCTTTTCCGTGTTTCACATTCCGAATCAAACCCCATTTGGTCTTATTATATTTGTTATATACCTGTGAAGATGGAAACTACATAGTCCTAATATATTTACCAGTTTATCAACAGCAGCATCAACACTTACATATACCCTTATAATATTTTTTAAGCATTTCTTGGATGGTTAGTTTCAAAATTCATCTCTAGCCTCATCTTGCCACTTGTGCTTTAACCTGTGTAAACGTGTAGCACTTTCTGTTTCAACAATGGGGGAAATGCAATTCTGGAATTGCCTTAACATAAGTGAAATAGACAGATGATCAGATGTTGTACTGGGTATGTCAGTAAAATGTCCAGTGTACTGGAAAAGAGACGTCGATGTGCATATATCGTCAGGGGTACTATAGCCATTATGACATATATACATATAGGCAGAGTTACGGAAAGCAAATGTTAATCTTTCATTACAAATACGGATATCAAACGGTTTACATAGATCTAACAATTGTCCACTGGAATTGCCAACGTTATGTTCGTTTTTTTCGCCAAGGTAATTTAATTATAGAAACGTTATATCTAATATTATCCAATGGTAAATATTCTATACATATCATATCCAATGCAGTCCTCCTCCGTACAGGTTCTAGAGTTAAGATAACCACATAGTATTCGCGGATGGCGTGGAGACCGCCTCTGTGGTGTAGTGGTAGAGCGTCCGCCCGGAGATCGGAAGGTCCGGGGTTCGATCCCCGGCCGCGTTATACCCTAAAAAGATTATATTTATTGTTACCCTGTCTGGTGCTCGGCATTAAGGGGCTAAAGTCAAGGACTGGTCGTTGGTATTCATGTAAAACTGCGGCATGGAAGTGAGCTAGCACTATTAATCGGCATCAGGCCGGACTAATGCAAGCAAGCAGCCAAACACACACACACGTGCATGCACGTCGCTATATAAGTGCAATAATCTTGGACGCGACGTTAAATCCCATTTCACCTCACCTCACCTCACCTCACCTCACCTCACCTCACCTCACCTCGTGACGGGGCGCTCGGGTAGCCTGGTGGTTAAAGCGTTCGCTCGTCACGCCGAAGACCCGGGTTCGATTCCCGACATGGGTACAATATGTGAAGCCCATTTCTGGTGTCCCCCGCCGTGATATTGCTGGAATATTGCTAAAAGCGGCGTAAAACCATACTCACTCACTCACTCACCTCGTGACATTGATATTCCATTTTCAGAGAAGTCAGCATATTTTCTAATAATTCTATACCATTATATTGATCCTGAGATTGAGGTCTAATATAAACAAACAAAAATTAACATACATATTAGCAATCACTTGGAACTCGGAAGCAAGAATGACACAATCATCCCTTTCAAGAGCAGTTCACTGTTAAGGGCATCAGGATGGCAACTGGATTTGGCACCTCGGTCGAGGGAGGTGACTGCCCCTCAACACCAGACACAAAGATACTAAATCTTCGCAGGGTACCGTAATTAAGCACAAAATCACGCTGGCAGATCACATACTTTGTGTATCCCTTCTAATCTTGATATTTTTTTTGTCCACACTCACGGTTCGTTTTAAATGAGGCGCACCTGCTATTTCGATTTTAGCAACAACCGGAAATAACGTGTCCTGCAGCAATGGCGGACCTACTAGGTCTGCTGTCGCTGTTTCTCCTATTATTGGTAAGTTTTGTTAATGAAAGTACTGGAAATTTATCTTCTTATTTATGGATCCGATCTCTACGATTACTCTGTGTTCGTTTGTTATATTGTACGATGATGAGGATTCTAGGAAAGACAAGAAAACACCATTCCCGTTATACACGTATCGCCATCGATATTACATAGGAAATGTTGACTACGTCGCCTCTAAATTTGTTAAACAATCATTGTCGTTCCAAATAATTCTAGGCTCTAGTCCTTTTGTCTGTATATTATGTTTGAAACCTAAATGCAAGAATTGGGTCTGATCAGTTGCACTAAACAGATTGAGAAGCTATTCACTTACACGTAAGTAGCCATATTATATGTTAAATAGTTATCATAGTTATGGACCCTGTTTATTTTCAGGTCTATTTAGGAGACTGCAAACTAACGGTGGAAGAGTGTAAAAATTTGGGATTTTCCACAAATCTGCTGTGCAGTAATTGTGACGAGCTTGACAAGTTCAGCCTCTCATCTCTGAAAGATGATTGTCAAAAATGTTGCCAAGAAGACAGAACTGAAGAGGAAAATGGTGGTGTAAGTTTGATCACATTTTCTTAGCTAAATGTATTAAGCTATTTTGGGGGTTTTTCATGTACGGTGGTAAACTGATGAATACTGAAGCTAAACATGCTAAATGATGAAATTTTCTTAACACTGGTGTGTCACTTAATCCTGCACATCTACACTGTTGACATCACTAATTAGATTGAATTTAACAGTGTGTTGTTTTATTTCAGTTATATCCATATGCAGAGTTAGTTGTGTGTGGATGAAAATTGGGAAGGTATCCACAGGTTCAGGGTGAGTAGTAATTGAAAATGTTATTAATAAATAATGTAATCTCTATGTCTATTAGTATTAAGCATGGTGAAAGGCTGCATTATTACCTTGGTCAGTGGATCAGTGTGCACTCAAATTTCATTCTTATCTCCCTAGGAAGTATACAACTCAAGCTGGCCAATGAGGTGCTAGGAGGTTAACGCCATCATAACCATCTCACCCTACTTGGCGGTGGGGTGGCCAAGTGGTTATTAAGCGTTTTCGCATCACGCTGAAGACCTGGGTTCAATTCCCCACATGGGTACAATGTGTGAAGCCCATTTCTGGTGCCCAGGTCATGATGTTGCTGGAATATTGCTAAAAGTGGCGTAAAACCTTACTCACTCACTCTCATTCTACCGTGTACCCTTTCATGGATGGATGAACATAGGCACTTTCCTCTGGATTCATTTGCATTGTAGTAGAGATCTGTGTGTGTTAAGTCAGCCTATGAAATGTCTATAACTCTCAGGAGTCAAATGAGCACATTTTTGTGTGTGAACTTTGGACATGTTGGATGAAGCCTACAATTGCCATGATCATGATGATTGTCTGATATTGAACCAATGTGTAAACTGTAGATTCTAAGATGCTGTTCTCAGAGGTCAAAAGTGTCGACTGTACTTTATTCTAAGCTACAAGTTAACTACACAATAAGTCACATAAAACAATGAAGGAGGAGGCATGGTTTATTTCATGATACAACGGGGTGGTCGGGTAACCTAGTGGTTAAAGTGTTCGCTCGTCACATCGAAGTACCCGACTTGGGTATAATGTGTGAAGCCCATTTCTGGTGTCCCCTGCCATCATATTGCTGGAATGTTGCTAAAAACTGCATAAAACCATACTCTCACTCATGATACAACACTGTTCTATTTCTGGCGTGTAATTTCTAAAGATTCAAACATACACTCAGTGATGTTGTAAATTGGATGATATTTTTAAGAGGGTAGAGAGTTGTTCCCCTTAGATGTAGCTAGGCAGCACAGATAAAAGCATTGGCCGAACGATCCAATCCGAGAGTGGGCAAGATATGAGTAGTAAATATGTGCAAGTGGTAAATATATAATTTGGTAATTATTCCTAAACTTTATTCTTAAAATTCAGCATTTACCAGCTTACTAAATTATATACAATTATGGCAGTGGTAAGAACACACAATGATGCTGTTACCATGGTGAGTGAGTTTTATGAGTTATGAGGTCATGTTTTTGTCATATTAAACAAATAAATCCCATTGCCACAATGTAGGAACATCTCTTTGACAACATCATCTGAAAATATGTGGAAAAAACTGTTCAACTGTGATAGGGATATTTGGATTGTCCAGATAGGACGAATTGCATGGAGTGTCATATTTTTCTGACTTAATTTTCACATTCCTTTCCCTGTTACAGCTTTTGTTAAGAGCGCCAAGCCTGATCAGTTTCCTGGACTCGAAATCAAATACGCCCGAGGCGCAGACCCTATCATCAAGCTGCTTGATGAGAACCGTTTAGTGCAAGAGGAACTGGGCATCGAGAAATGGAACACAGACTCTGTGGAGGCCTTCTTTCACGCAAAACTGAAGAAATAAATCCATCACAATAACTTTGAAATGTCCCACTATGGCACCATTCTCTGGTTATTTACTTAAGTTGAGATTTCAGCGGAACCTGTTAGGCTGGACCCTGGTATTCTAGATATCCGCTTTCAGGAAAGTTACTGTAAGGACTGTTTACAGTTATACAGACGATATTGCTCTACCAAAATGATTGATGAATCTGGACATTTGTTAAAAAGAACTTTTTCACCATATTCACTGGAGAATTACCACCCAGGCCGACAGATCACCCAGGTCACTGTATCAGTACCATCACCAACTGATTTGTAATTTAAACCCAAGTATGTACTGATGGAAGTAAGCATTGGAACAGACAGATGTCAAACTGATGCTTGTCTCCTGTTACTTTATTTGTGTACATCAGTATATGTGTTTTGATGCATTGTAACCTTATGCAGTTGAAGTCATTTTCTGATGGCCTAATACTGTCAGTGTTTATCTTGGCTTCATCTTTGGTCATAACTATTTCAGTTATTATAGCCAGTATGTCGTCTTCCATAATCTTGAATCTGCCGAGGCAGAGAGATGAAGCTTAGTCTCTACTAACTGACATCACAAAGATGATTGCAAAGTGCTCTTTTCATTTAATTGTCTATGCAAATGATTTCTAACAACTGAAAAAATATGTTTACAAGTAGTTGATATAAAAAATAATTCCAGAATATTAATTAACATTTTACCTGAATATGGTTGAAGTGAGCACGGGATTAACCAGAGAATGGTAGCTCCACAGCGAGATGTCCGGCATGCCTATCTATGAAGTCCCTGCATGAAACCGGATGGTTTGTAGGGATGGATGACAGAGGTTTTGTTGGAAGACATTTCTGAGTTGTTTCATCATTGTCCATCTCATTTTGTTACAAGACCTTGTTTACATTACAAGAAAGTGTATTTATCATGTGGTTTTATCACATTGTTTACAAGTAAAAGGAAAATGGACATGACACAGTCTTTGTTTTTCTTTGCATATTTCTGAAAATTATTGTTTGTCTGGGGATTCCAGGGCTAGTAAGATGCCAGGACCTCATGCTTGCTGTATGATTCATGTAAATGGAGATCCAGTGTGCATATGTCACCCTGCTGGTTGTGTGACTTGTCCCGGAGTCGTTGCTGATGCAATGTCATTCTAGTTGATTTACATTGTGCTTTGGATCCATGAAGATCTGGGTTAAAATTGGTCTTCTGCAACCCATGCTTATTGTAAGAGGCAACTATGCTTGTCATAATCAAGTGGTCAGGATTGCTGACTTGGCTGATGTTTGTCATCATATCCCAGTTTTGTAGATCAATGCTGATGATGTCAATCACTTGATTGTCTGGACCAGACTTGATTTTATACAGCCTGCCATCATATAGCTGGGATCTTGCTGAGTGCGGCATTAATCAACAAACAAACAAATACTAGTATACAGTCCTTTCTGCTCAACTGTACTGCCTCAGGTAGTTTTCATATTGTTGGAACAGTAACCATGTAATTCATGTGAACAGTTATTGAGAAAGAATACTTTCCTATAATATTAGATTGCCTCCGTGGTCTAGTGGTAGAGCATCCACCAGGAAGGCAGAAGGTCCAGGTGCGATCTCTGGCCATGTCATACTGGAAGACGTTAAAGGATAGTACTTGTTGTTACCCTGCCTGGCGCACAGCATTAAGGGGCTAAAAGTCGAAGCCAGCATACTGTGTCTTAGTGGGGTATTCATGGTATCTCAGTGGGCTAGCACTATAAATCGGCATCAGCAGCCCCACACACAAGTGCATGCATGTCGCTATATAAGTGCAATAATTTTGGATGCAAGGTAAAATCCCATTTCACCTCACCTATAATATTATTTTATTCTGTGTTCGCCAAAACAGCTGTTTCAATCAGACTTTGTTACACAATGGTGATACACAACTAAATGAATATTCCCTGTCAAATATCCCTGAGGTGTGAAATTGAGCGAAATTGGTGAATGGGCACGGGGTTTTTTCCATTTACTCTACCGTTGGTACACTTAACACCAGGAAATAATGATGTTTTATCATCCTAAACTGTCTTCCATGGGAGATATCGCTCGTGTTAGATAATTCTATTTCCTAGGAGATATCGCTGAAACCAATTGCGTCATGATGCTTTGCAGTCCATTGTGACAGTTACCAGGACATCACAATCAAATGAGATCACTTATCTCTCTGACACAGAATCTGGTTTACAAACAGTAGGGACGAATGATTTTGTATGATAAATTTGACCTCACACTTGTGTCCTATGATACCAAAAAGATCAACACTCCTCAAAACGTTTAAAACTCCTCAGCAAGCCCCGGAGTTTAAAGTGTTGGTATACTTGATACCAAAGACACGAGGGTGAGATTTTCTATTTCTTATAAATTTATAAATTGAAGTTGAAATATGTGTGTGGTTTTAACTCAATTCAGTTCATTATCAGTGCCGTAGCCAGTGACGAGTGCGCATGCGTGCGTATGACCAACGGGTATTGTTTTGGAGGATGAAGTAGTCACAACAAACTGTACCCTGAAGTTGGTATTACTGGACTCTAATTGATCAATCTGAGGTGATCAAATCACAATAACCCCCCTCAGATTGAAAGAGACGATTTTACGGCAGCAGCATCGCGGAAGCTAATATTTATAGAATAGTACTTATTTTTCAGTCATCGTCTGTAGCCATTAACAATAATATTATGTAGAGTTAAAGTTGCGGTTGCTACAATATTCAAAGGATGTGTGGCAATACATTTTGTGTAGCAAACACAATAGAAATCAACAAGGAGAATGTACATATTTCAAGTTTTTATGATAGCAGAGAGCTTGAAATGTTTTAGGGGGGTATAAGAACTTATTGGAAAAGACTATATATACGACTCTGACGTCATATCTTTAGCGTTACGATAAGCGGAATGGCGTCAGCGGAATGGCGTCACGTGCGGTTAACGAAACCTTGCAAGGCTTGCTCAGTTTTTCCTGATACCATAAAATAAATGTATTTTATGGTCTCTGGTTTTCTGTACGAGTGCCCACTTCTTGTACTGCAGACTTTCAACGTCTTGTCATATGTTCGAGTGTAGAATTACGATGTAAAAAATACTGCTTGAGCATATGTTGTGCAAAATGCACAGGTATCTGTGAACACTATAACTTTTAACAGGAAGTTTCCAGTGATGTGTATGCGAGGGCGATCGATTCCAGATTGTTTTGGTGGTGGAAAAATCCGAGTTGACGGGAATGGTTCTGTAATCAAAGCCCGATGTGATGCAGTTTCAAACGTTTACAACTTCGGTGAAACCCACGAACACGGGTATGGTGCTGACAAACCTTGAAACATAATCGGGGCGAACCGGGATTCGAACCCACAATCATAGGTTGGAGGCGTGCCCATGGGACGGGACGCAACTCTGCACAGCGAATCGCGGTGCCTTAGCCGACTGGGCGTAATGCAAGCCTCTCAAACGGTACCTTTAAATATTGTTTTGCATAATCATATAGATATACTACTACAACTTCTACAGTTTAGGTGCAAAAATATCTTTATACACGAATGTGACCGTATCGCTAGCTATCTATAGGGCTTCGATGACAGCAACGTTTTAGGTGATTTCTCAATGAAAATTGACCATTCTGTGATATATGTTTATCTTAATGTGTGGACTCCTCACAAATGAAACAGATGGAAAAGATATTGAATATCTTGAATGGACTGTGTAAGATGAGACGTATCGTCACAATGTCGTCGCTGGCCGGTGCCGCATGGAGCTCTGAGGAGTGGCTCCATTATATTGGTGGCGGAATAAGCGGACCCGAGTGCTATATGAACACGATCGGCTATTTCCGTTACGGAAAGGGGCGGGGTTGGCAGTTGTGGCAAGCTTGTGACGTCATAGTTTTGACGTCTCGCTACACATGACGTCATACTAACAGTTCCATCTCCATGGAAGTGTAGAAAAGGATGCCTGTGAACTTCTTCTATGTCCATCTGTAGTAAGTGTAAAATCTTTTCGCATATCTCATGAAAACTATATCTCTTGAACTCCATGGGGTAAATGTGTGCCTAACTTAACGATTCAATTCTAGCATGGATGTTTTACAATATAGGCCTACAGGAGACCCTTTCATGCGTGGCCCTGTGCTTTCATGTACAAATATGGACGGTTTGTGAGTTCGGTATGTTAATAATCGGGAATGTATTAGGGCTATTTGAAACTGTCCGTAGCGGGCATATTCTGTGGAGGGACAATCCAAGATCAAAATCGTTTATTGGGAGCAGCACTACCACAGCTAGGTTTCCGAATGCAGATATTTTAATAATGTAAAGTGTCCGGTATAATGCGTGTGTACCAAATATACCAGAAGACGAGCTATCACTGTAATATGTACTAAACGTGAGCGGGGTTGGTTTAAATCCGCTTTGAACAGTATTTCAGGTACATGAGAGCATGTCAACTTGTTGCGGGAAGAGTGAGTGAGTGAGTGTTATGGTTTTACGCCGCTTTTAGCAATATGCCAGCAATATCACGGCGGGGGACACCAGAAATGGGCTTCACACATTGTACCCATGTCGGGAATCGAACCCGGGTTTTCGGCGTGACGAGCGAACACTTTAACCCGACCGCCCCTGTTGCGGGAAGAAAGCCTAATTGTAGCAGGTTGTAGAATTTCTCACTTTGGTGTAACCCACTACCACAGGCATATACTGCTGCCAAAACCAACGATCATGATCGAGCAATTCTGGGTCCCGATCCACAATGCGTTCGTAGCACTTCGATATTCTTAATTTATGAGTGAGGTAGTGAGTGAGTATGGTTTTACGCCGCTTTTAGCAATATTCCAGCAATATCACGGCGGGGGACATCAGAAATGGGCTTCACACAATGTACCCATGTCAGGAATCGAACCCGGGTCTTCGGCGTGACGAGCTAACGCTTTAACCACCAGGAGCTACCCGACCGCTCACTTAATTTTATGGTGAACTTTATGGAAAAATACCGTATTCGACGTAATAAGCGCCCAGGGCGCTCTCAAAATTAGAAATAGGGGGCTCTTATTAGAATATTTTTTTGGTGGAAAAAAACAGAGTTGAAAGATAAATTTAGTGATTTATGCAGACAGCCTGAAATGTTTATGTATGACAAATATATGTTTAATAAATTTAATTGCCAATAATATAGGGTGCATATAACACATGAGAGTGTATTATACACGAATAGGGGAAGGAAGCGGTGCATATTATATGCGAATAGGGGTCGGAAGGGGTGCATATTGGGATTGTTCACTTGCCAATATATCAGCAAATCTCGCCGTGGGCGCTTATTAGAGCGGGGCGCTTAATACGTCGAATACGGTAGGTCGTAACGCTGCGATCATTTTGTTGATTGGGACCCTGTATACTCAGACCAACTGTTAGTAGAGTGTGACCTTGGGTGGCGTGTTCGGGACCGACCATTTGAAATTCGAGAGGGGTGGGGGAAGGGCTGGGATTTTATATTGAGACCAGATATTCTTTTTGCCGCACTCAGCAATATTCCAGCTATATGACAGCGGTCTGTAAATGATCGAGTCTGGACCAGACAATCCAGTGATTGATATCATGAGCAATTGGGATCGATGACATGCATCAACCAAGTCAGCGAGCCTGACCACCCGATCCCGTTAGTTGCCTTTTACAACAAGCATAGTCGCCTTTTGCAGCGTCGTGGGTTGCTGAAGACCTATTCTACCCCGGATCTTCACGGGTCATAAAGTGTATATGTCATACATGGTGGAGATGATGTGAGTGAGTATGGGGTTATACACTGCTTGTATATCAACATCAAGGCAGTGTTTACCAGAAATGGGCTTCACACATTGTACCAATGTGAGGAATCGAACCCGGAGCTTTGGCGTGGAGAGAAAGAGGTAAGCTACCCCATCGCTCACTAATCTGTTTTTTCCTTCAGATGACTGCATGCCGAAGACGTTTTAAGACGCGCTTTGACTGGACTACATGGGAGACAAGGACGAGGTGTCGGATAGCCATGATGACCAGCTGCACGAGGTCCCCGCGCTTGTTATGGACTTCGTGGACATGGTCATTGGGGAGGAAAACCCAACCCCCCTAGACCAACCACAAGGTGCACCTGTCACACCAGTAACAAACAACGCTGAAGACGCAGGCGCTGGGTCTGTGACTTCCGGCACGCTCGTCCGCGACTATCATCATCAAACCTTGATTCCCACGACTGAATGTGATACCGAATCCGAGGATGCGAAGGAATCGTTCTCTGAGACATGCCAATCTATATTTGGCTGTGGACCTTCCACCCTCCCTGGATCGCACGCCGGCACTCCTTCCTCTATCCCTGAATCGCAAGAAGACAGCCCTTCCTCTACCCCCGGATCGCACGCCGACACTCCTTCCTCTATCCCTGAATCGCAAGACGACAGACCTTCCTCTTCCCCAGGATCGCACGCCGATACTCCTTCCTCTATCCCTGAATCGCAAGACGACAGACCTTCCTCTTCCCCAGGATCGCACGCCGACACTCCTTCCTCTATCCCTGAATCGCAAGACGACAGACCTTCCTCTACCCCCGGATCGCACGCCGACACTCCTTCCTCTATCCCTGAATCGCAAGACGACAGACCTTCCTCTCCCCTCGGATCGCACTCTAACAGGCCTTGCTATGTCCCCGGATCGCACGCCGACAATCCTTTTTATCTCCCCGGACCGCACGACGACAGGCCTTACTCTCTTCCTGGTTCCCGCTCCGACAGTTCTTCCACTAGCTACTCCTCGCCCGCTTCTGCCTCCTCTTGGTCATATGGGTCCAGTTCCTCCGGCTGCAGTCTGGCGTCTGGTGTCTCCAACATCAACCAATCGGACGTCTCCCAACGCAACCAAAGCACCTCCAGTGACAGTTTCAGTGGATCCGATGAACCTGTGCCTCGATATACGGCAGATACGATTCAATACCAGGGTATAGCTGATAAACAATCCAACTGGAAAGTTAATCGGTGCGAGAAAGAACCAGTTTGGAATTACTTTGAACAAAAAGTACACTGCACAGCGTTTGTGTCCCCTAAGAAGGAAACCAATAAATATCCTACGAAAACGGATGCCAAGCCCTGTGCCGCCTTTAACCATATCAGTTACTCCACAGAAGATGGTGTTTCGCATTTGAAATCCCCTATATATCGTAAAGATGTTCGCCCCAAGATAAGAACGGCAGGTTTACGCGGCAGTGGTAACGGATCGCAAGATGTGCGTTCCTCGCCTACTGACAACGAAGACGTGAGACTTGCGTCCTCTGAAAATGAACAAGAGATGCGACTCTTGTATGAATCTGATCCTCCAGTTTATTCTGAAAGGGGAAACGAATGTATTTTCAAGATGGAAGTTGTATCCGAAGAATACAATTCAGGACAGGAAGTGAAAAGCGATATTGATAAAAAAGAAATTTCAAGCACTATAAAAGAAAACGATCAGCGTACATCACCGAAAAGTTCAAGGGGGACAACAAGTGATCAAGCAAAATATTTCAAAAGAAACTTTCCAATTCCAACAATGACCAGAAGAAACAATAGCTCACCCGGAGTATTTGTGTCTCCCGTCAGCTTTGGTAAAAGACGCACCAAACGGCTGAGCGGGGAGCTTACTGGTTCGGACAACGCTATTGGTGTTCTCTGTATGTCCCCGAAGAAGGCGAAAACAGACACACCAGCCACGAGCTGTGTCAGAAAGAGGCTGGGGAAATGGTTGAAATGAGTACTTGTAGAGCAATATTCTATATTTGCCCAGGAAAGTACAAAAAGTACATACATATTAGTATTTACATGCTCTTTTTACAAGATGGTTTTAAAGATACGGGAAAGATTGTAGCCACGATGTTTAAAAACTGTATGAAAACCGACATATCGTCCACAAGATGGGTGATACCGCCAAGCAATGTCACAATCTTTACTTCATTTTCAACAGTCTTCTAATTTTAGTACTGGTTTAATGGCAGGGGGTCAAGACTGACACTCCCGCCATGAGCTGTATTAGAAAAAGGCTAGGAAAGTGGTTGGAATCAGTGTCTGTACAGCAATTAATGATGTGTGGGACAGCGAGACAGTGGTCCCGACTGGGATGAATCCATGTGATGAGATTAAAATGTTTGCCAATGTACTAAACGTGTGTTTTGTTGTTTCGAAACAATATGACAACACAGTGCCAATACCGTATGCACGACAGGTTATATGGGACATAATTGTTGACACTGGAGATTATGGAACAATGTAGGGACAATATTGAAGACACGGGAGGCTACAGGACAACGTTTGTTTGTTTGTTGCATGTTTAACGCTGCACTAAGCAATATTCCAGCTATATGACGGCTATAGGACAACGTAGTAAAAATATTGTAGACACGGGAGGTTATAGGACAATGTAGTGACAATATTGTAGATACGGGGGTTATAGAATGTGGGGCGGCCAGGTAGCCTAGTGGTGAAAGCGTTCGCTCGTCACGCCTAAGACCCGGGTTTGATTCCCGACATGGCTAAAATGCATTGGTAATATTCGTTGTAGACACGGTTTTATAGGAGCACATTTTGTACATACGGGAGTAGTGTAGTGACAATATTGTAGAGACGGGAGGTCACAGAACAATGTAGTGACACTTTTGTAGAGACGGGAGGTCACAGAACAATGTAGTGACACTATTGTGTAGAGACGGGAGGTCACAGAACAATGTAGTGACACTATTGTAGAGACGGGAGGTCACAGAACAATGTGTGACACTATTGTAGAGACGGGAGGTCACAGAACAATGTAGTGACACTATTGTAGAGACGGGAGGCCACAGCACAATGTAGTGCCACTATTGTATAGATACGGGAGGTCACAGAACAATGTAGTGACACTTTTGTAGAGACGGGAGGTCACAGAACAATGTAGTGACACTATCGTAGAGACGGGAGGTCACAGAACAATGTAGTGACACTATCGTAGAGACGGGAGGTCACAGAACAATGTAGTGACACTATCGTAGAGACGGGAGGTCACAGAACAATGTAGTGACAATATTGCAGATACGGGAATGTAGTTACACTATTGTTGATAATACATGTTGATATGAATTATAAGAGTTCTATAGACATTCCATATAGTCCAGAGTGTCTGGATTTCCGGGGTTTCACTGTAATGACGTACTAAAACAGAAACAGGAAACATGATTTTATGTTGTGGGATAGCGTTATAAAATATAATGTAAGCATTTATACGTCTAATGCTTAAAACATCACACCCAATAAATCTCAGCGACATGTTGTTTGATGATCCGAGGCACAGGGTAGGGGTTGTTTCAAAACTGAACAAGGGAATACAACCACATGTTGATAGTTGATATGATATAGAGAATCTCACCCGAGTGTCTTTTGATATCAAATATATTAACACGAGTTGATAAAAGTTGAAAAATTCCGAGGCTTGCCGAGGATTTTTGCCACTTTTATCAACGAGTGTTGATATATTTGATATCAAAAGACACGAGGGTGAGATTTTATTTATCATCCAACATCATTCTTCCAACTTTTTCAATTTGTAGACAGTAATTAGCAGTGTCTTCAGTGTAAAAAGTACTGCTAACAGCTTCAGTAGCAGAGCCATTGGTGATGTCATTTGATTGTGACGTCATGGTAACCAGTGACGTCACAATGGTCTGCAAAGCATTGTGATGTAATTTCATTGCAGCGATATCTACAGTGTAGATATCGCTTGATCTAATCCAAGCGATATCTCCTGTTGGAGCCAGTTTTGGATGATAAATGACAATATCACAGGAACTCATTATTGGACAATACCTAAACAGTAAAGATATACAGAGGCTATATAACCAAAATTGTCACAGTATCAGAGAAGAAATTTCATATGACATATATCAATATTATTTGAGATACTAAATATACTCAACAACAAAAGTTCCTGTGACACCAATATTTTAGTGTATTTTTCAAACAAGTAAAGTTTGGTTTTCAGTATTGTAATAATGTATGGAATCAAGTCACAAAAACGCCATCAGGCACGTCTACAGTGGTGCAGACAGCGTCTACGCTGGACGGTCATGCACTGGGGACAAGTTCTATTCATTGACGAGTCTCGTTTTCACCTCAGCCACAGCGATGGACGGATTCGAGTGTACCGACGTCGAGGTGAACGTTACGTCAATCATTGTGTCATGGAAGAAGATCGGTTCGGGGGCGGCAGCGTTATGGTATGGGTGGGATTACAGCAAGACAGAGGACCCGTTTGATAGTGGTAGAGGGAAATCTCAATGGACAGCGCTACCGCGACGAGATCATCGGCCCTGTTGTTCTACCGTTTTTGCGTCGTAATTGTCCAGGCATTACCTTTCAACATGACAACGCCCGGCCTCATATTGCTCGACTTGTTCAGGATTCTCTTCAACAAAACAACGTGAATGTCATACCCTGGCCGGCTCGCTCCCCTGATCTCTCACCAATCGACCACATGTGGGATGAGATGGATCGGCGCCTTCGACGTCAACCAGGTGTTCCACAGACACTCCAGGAACTTCGAAACATGCTCCAGCAGATATGGACAGATATCCCACAGGACTTTGTACGACGCCTGGTCCATTCCATGAGACGAAGATGTGTTGCTTGCATCGCAACCAGAGGTGGACACACACACTATTGATTTGTTGGCATGTTCATGTGTTTGTTTTTTTTATGAAATCACGCATTTTCTGAAGTCAGTATGGCAAATTAAACCATTGGAACACTTACAGGAATTTTTTTAACTGTTGCAAACCGAAATTGTTTCAGATTTGTTTAAAAACTTTGCATTAAAACTTATTCAATGTCACAAGAACTTTTGTTGTTAAGTATATTTGAGACGGACCCTGTTATCTGCCCCTGCCACCTTGCTTGTAAAACCAACAGATGTCGAAACACGCCTAGGTCAAGTGCTAATAATTATTGTCTGTATTTGTGCATTGGGTGCTTATGTAAATCTAAGTTGTCAATACAAGAGAATAACCAGTCCAGATTAAATATGCGTACGTTCGTGAAAATAGTAAATCCGTTTTGGATTTTTTAATGAAAAAATGCGTTGAATGAGCTTGACTAGACACATTTCTATTTTGTTTTCATTTCTAATGTCTGTATTGAAGAAATAGATGATAAACACATTTTCCTTATATCTCAAACGCTACTTTATATGTAAATATACGAAATACGTACGAAATATATCACTGCGTAGTCGTTATTATGGATGCCATAAAATGACAGACCTTTTGTTGTTTGTGTTAAAAAACGCCGCAATAGTCCAGCTATAGGACGGCAGTCTGTAAATGCATGTGTGTGACAGTGTCGCCTCAAATTGGATTGCCCACTAATTAAGAATATAAACTTCGCTTGTGGTTCTCTTTTATTGCATGCATGCGCTTCTAACATGAAAGGATGTATAGTGTGAAAAGTTAACTAGTTGAACACTCGTATTTCCGGGACTTGCCGCGGATGTTTTCAAACAGATTATTAGAACTCCATTCAGCGATAAACGGTTGACTATGCAATGAGAAGCGTTATGTGCAAATGAACAACGAACAACAATACAATTATGTCTGTGTAAAACTCTCAGTAATAAAAGTGTACATAAACTTTGGGAGCCATGCGTTACCGCGCGTAGTAACCGAGGTAGCGCTTTATCGAAGAGCACAATAGCGAGGGATCACTGTAATCGAGTCTGGACCAGACAACCCACTGCTTGACACTATGAGCATCGATCCACGCAATTGGGATACGATGACATGCATAAAAAAGTCAGCGATCCTGACCTCCCGATCCCGTTAGTCGCCTTTTACGACAAGCAAAGTCGCCTTTTACGGCAAGCATGGGTTTCTGAAGACCTATTCTACCCCGGATCTTCACGGGTATCATCACCTTGTTCTATAATATTGATATACATGTAGAATTAATTTAAGTTCACATCAAAACATTTATGGTGGCATTTACCTATTTGTTGCATCACTCAAAACCACTTTGAGAGTGGTGATTGACTGATCAATCGCAAATCCTCTCCAAGTATGAAGACATAAAAAAAAGTCAGCGATTCTGACCACCCGATCCCGTTAGTCGCCTCTTAAGACAAGCATAGGTTGCTGAAGAGCTTTTCTACCCCGGATCTTCAAGGGTCGACAGAACCTAGAAGTCGGCCATCATAAATTGAATACAGGTATGTCGGTTTTATAACTCAAGCAACTCCTGTAACACCTGACCCTTGCATAACTACCCACTGCTTCATTACAAAGCGACGGTTGTGATTCATTGTTGGAAACACGACAAAAGAGTAGTAAACTGATAAACAGGATACCTGGCACAACCATCACACACACAGTGAAGCTGGCACTAGCACCGGTACCGATTTATTGGGGTTATGCGAAGAAGTCTCAAAATGTTCTTTTCAACAACGCTGAAAAGTATCAACACCCAGCCCACACAAGGAATCGGACTGTCACATTATGCAGTGAAAAATAATTATTGTCAACCTGGGAAACACCTCTGACTCTGCCATCAGTATCTGGAGTATCCATCCCTCTCACGGATGACGTTCGCGAGGCACCTCCTCATGCTGCAGATCAGACGTCTGATTTTCAACATCGGGATCCTCTGTCATTCCTATGGGGGACACGGGTGGCCCAGTCTTCTAAGGCGCCGCGATTCGCTGTGCAGAGTTGTGTCCCTTCGGCACGCCAGAAACCTGTGATTGTGGGTTCGAATCCCGGTTCGCCCCGATTATGTTTCTAGGTTTGTCAGCACCATACCCGTGCTCGTGGGTTTCACCGAAGTGGTAAACGTCTGAGACCTGCATCACTTCAGGCTCTCCTCCTACATTAAACTGACACGCCGTGATATAACTGGAATACTGTTAAAAGCGGTGTTAAACCAAACTCACTCACTCTGTCATCCCTGGGCCCACTTGCACAAAGCAATCTTAGCGCTAAGACTATGTTAAAGTATGGGAGTTACGATCATATTAGCGCTAAGATCGCTTTGTGCAAGTGGGCCCTAGTCAGTTAATTAAATTATTGGTGATACACCTGCAGTACATTTATAAAACATGCTGATAAGTTAGGGTTCCATTGTCTGTCTTTATGTTTTTGAAATTGTGAATCAAGAGGTGGTTAATTAATGCTCATGTGTATATTTAGTTCTATATTGAAAACTCTATGACTCCATTCTGTCAGAAGGGTATGTCCCAGTATCTAGAGTGATGTAATTAATGGCCATCCATGGTTACCCGTTACGCAGATGTTCTAGCACAATGTAACGCACTTATCTTTGTTGTCATGGAAACCATAATTTAAATGTAAGATTAACAATGTATTACTATGGATTGTAGTTATATCGGCAACAGTGCTTTCATTATCTGAAATGTCAATGCTGTCAAATTTATCCAAGAATGAGTCAGTGTGGTATAACTGGCCAACAATTGGTTCCACACCTTTCAGCGGGGAATCAAACCTCGTCTTTGTTGTGATCAGCGAACACTTTAGCCACTAACCTCCATCCCTGGATTCTTCCAGTGAGTGTACCCCCCGACTCATCCATTAAGTCTCTTATATTTACATACCAGTTCTATAATTTGTCTCAGGTGTTCATATCTGTGAAGATCATTTCTTACAATTGACCTTGCACCTGCCCAGGTGTTCATTTTCGTCTGCATAGGTGTTCATTTGCACCTGAATAGGTGTTCAAACAAATGAAACTGAAGTGTATTTTCTTCTCTGCCAGTGTGTGAAATAATTACTAACCTTGACCTTGAGGTTCCAGTCAGATGAGGGAGTGAGTGAGTGAGTGAGTGAGTGAGGTGAGTGAGTGAGTGAGTGAGTGAGTGAGTGAGTGAGTGAGTGAGTGAGTGAGTGAGTTGGGTTAATGCTGCTTCCAGTTATATCATGGGGTGTCAGCTTAATGTGGGAGGAAAGCCCAAAGTGATGCAGGTGTCAGATGTTAACCAATTCCGTGAAACCCAGAAGCATGGGTATGGTGCTGACAAACCTAGAAACATTATCGTGTCAAACCGAAATTCGAACCCACAATAATAGGTTTCTGGCATGCCAAGGGACGCAACTCTGCACAGCAAATCGTGGCACCTTAGAAGACTGGGCCACCTGTACCCCCTCCAGTCAGATGAACACTTGAGTAGTGCATTGTACACCTTGGTGTACAAGTTTACACTTACCAGTGTACATTGCACTTGAACCTCTCGTTTCTGTAAGTAACTATTTTAATGATTCCCCGGCCCATCACAAACGAATGATGAACATTGAGTTCATTAATTAAAAAGACACACACACAGAAGAACATGATAGGCTTGACTATTTTATCCTTAAAAGTTACATGAAACTCAAGAAATAATAATTAAATTAACAACATATATTCACATAGCTCAATAGACACTTTATGATGCTTTTATCACTTTTAAATAACTCACATATTCACATAGCTGTATAGTCACGTCACAGTTGAAGTCACTCCTCAATAACAGTTATAGTAACTTATACATAAGACAATCTGGCAGCACTAATCATTTTGCTAATAACGGCATCAAGAAGACAACCCAGGGTGAAAGTGTGTTAATTACTCCACTGCAATTCACAAACAATGTCTGTCCCTAGAAGAATCTGTTTTGTTATAAAACTGTCAGCATGTCAGTGAGTGGTCAGCAGATGGTCAAGAGTTCATCTCCCACTGCTGAGTTTGACACAAGGCAGTATCAATCAACTACAGTAATATACTGATAAACAAAATCAAAGCATCTAATAATTTTAGTTCATAATAACCATAGTTCGTAATAACCATAGTTCGTTATAAGCATTTCGACAAGTATAAAGCAAATGTCCGGAACAAAAAAACAGTTTGTTATATTCATCAGTTCATTATAAGCATGTTTGTAATAAACATAGTTTACTGTATAAACAAACACATCTGGTGCAGTACAAGAGGAACTAAATTGGCATCAAAAACATAATGTATTTCTTTGAAAAATCTATGAATAAAATCTCGTATAATCTGGTCCAAATTGACCTGCTGTCTAATGGACAGGCACTGGCTGTAACAAGACACAGCAACACTTCGGAAGAGTTAAGGCAGGGAAAAAAGATGACTTGATTTTTGCATACTTTCTGTGAGAATCATCATGATCATAGGAGTAGAATGGCACCGTCAGCACTACAGGCTGCAAGGGTATGGTGACACACAGTCAGCCATATTAGTTACTTGTTATGAAAGTAGCTTCTTTCTAATGGTGACCTGGTCATAGACTAACGCTTAGTCCTAGAGATAAAGTTATCACATATCAAAAATAAATATCCACTAAATAAAAAGTAAAATTAAGTCAAGAACAATGCTCAATTTCCCAGAGCTGATGCAGTCTAGACTTACCAAATCATTTCTAGACTTGAGTTGGATTCCTTTTTTAATTTATTTTCTAGGGTCTGAGAAACTAGCCTATCATTCTTGACCTGTGTCTGAAACACCTGCCTGCCTGATATTTTCACTGGTATTAATTACTAATAATTATTACTATTGTGACAAAACATTGCACTATACACTGTGCCTTCCCCTGTTGGGGATCTGTGCTAAGAGATATACCAATAAGGAGCTATTGGTCCACCTCACCATTTACATATTTGACTTATTTCGCATCTTTTGGTCAAGAATATATTGTACAATGTTCAGGAACTGAATTATCTTCCTTGCCAAAAATGTCTGGCAAAGCACTGTCTTGGAATTCAGCATGATAAAAGGCTACGGAACCTCATATAATTCTATGTTTGAACTAAAACTGTCTTGTCCTTTAAATACAAGTACTGTATTATTGAACAAATTATCCTCTTACTCCTCATTTATGACAAAACAATGGAGCAATGTTGAAGAATTAATGAATATCTTGTTGTCTAATGTAGCAAAGACATTGTCACCATAAACCCTCAAACTTGTCAAATGGTCAGTGCTAACAATCAAACAAGCATAAACCAGCTAAGGCTCCCCCAAAATACTGTTTCTCTTCCCTGCCCACATAATTTTCCCACCCCATTAACTTGTAAATTTGTGTGATTTTAGAAGCAAGGGCAGATAACTCTAACCTGCTTTCCCAAAAACGAAAGTATAAGCTGCAGGATACCTCTTTGGTTGGGGGGGGGGGGGTGTGAAGATTGTTGACGTTATTCGAGAAAATGAGGTTCCGTTGCTATTGCAACTTGCCTTCCTTATAGGTAAACACTAATATTTGTCTTTGTATGTACACATCTTCGGTAATATCACATTATATTTGTGTTCAAGTCGTACTATGTTTACGACACTTGTGCCAAAATTCCAGTATTTCCCACACAATCGCTCAGGAAATACCTGAATTTATAGCCACTTGTGTTGAAAACACAGTATGACATGAACACTCATAAAATATCCTCACCATATAGTACTGTTCATTCAGTACCAAGAGGCCAAATTCCACACCGTGTTTCCGTCTCCGAATCAGATGGTTTATGCCTCTGCATCTCATCAACACTTTAGCCTTATCACATTGAGTCAATAAACGTATCTATGTTGTCTTAAGTAACACGAACATTTAAATTCAATGAAGATTTGAAAAAGCAGACCTTTTCTTATCCCTCTTTATTTTAAATTTATGACATTTTATCCGAAACAGCAGTGATTTGGTCAGAGGCAACTAGCATTAGGACATTTTTGTAAAGGATAAGGAAAGGCATTTTGTTGTATTGGCAATATCATTACAAAATCTGAAAAAGGACTCTCTGACATTTTGGATGCTGATCAGCATGATCAGTCAACATGGTCAATGCTCTAGAAAGAGAATTTATCTTGTCAGATACTTACTGTATCAAGATCAAAGTACCCCAATTCAATGGTTGAAATTTACGGGAATTTTGGGGTCCTTGAGGTCCTATAGTATCTGAATCAAGAAACCTCTAGATCATAAACTTTTAATAAGAGGGTTTTCATTGGTGATGACAAGGCCCTTGACTGTCATGCTAAATTTTGAATACTTCATATTATGGCTTTGGTGTATCATTCCAGTCCAAGAGCAAGTAATAATACACCAACAAAACAATGTTATTTCTATACACTATGTATATACAAGGAAGATACTGGTAGGACTTGTGGACATCAAAGGGAATTACAGCCTTAGAAATTCATCTTTTTAAGCCTAGTCCAGAGGACCAGTTTAAACCTTATTTCACTAGTCTTCTTTGTTGTAGATAGTCCTGCTTGAACGTGACATAAATGTTTACATTTTCTGTCAATTTTATGCAGATCCAATTTGCACCAAAATTGAAGCATTGAGAACTGAATCAGAATTAATGCTACAAGTCCATGAGGACTAACATGATTGAATTTTACTTGTTGTCAGCAAGTCTTGGCAAGTGGACTTTTGTGTGAATTTGAAAGGCTGCTTGAATGTGAACTCATTCACAAGGGACTATCAGTCTTCCCATGGGTTCATGTCCGTATCGATTGCTATGCAGTTGTATGCAGCATAGCGTAGCTTCTCTTCAGCCACCTTCGCATTGGAGTAGTAGGGAAGATATAACATGTTGGCACATGTGGAAGATTCCGGCAGAGAGTCAATGGCATCCCCTTTTCCAGACGATATGTACAGTGGGGCAGGGAGTCGACGACGACCTGTCACAAACCGTAGGAACCGACTACGGTCCTCGTTTGTAAACTTCTTTAGGGCTTCCCAGAGGTACTTGACTCTAATGTCCGTCTCCTCCATGTCATCATAGTGGGTAGCTCTCTTGAGAGCCTCGATGGTGATGTCAGGGTCCCCACACACCCGTGTTTCTAGTTCCTGCCATGGAAGAAGGTCAAGGACAGCCTTTGGAATGGTCTTCAGCAACCCTCTCTGAAGTGCCTGGATCTGTTGGTCACTTTCTGCCATCCTGATCTTCTGAACTTCTCTGCAGTAGTCACCTCGATCTTCATATTTCAGTGACAGAGCATTTCCATCAGAGTCAACTTTGAGGCTGACACTTGTGCCATCGCTCAGAGTGAGGCTCCACTGTCTCTCAAGGGCAGAGAATGTCTTTTCATCCATGGTCTTAATGGTGTTGATGACCTTCACTTCCGCTGAATCCACAGTTTGAAAGTCATTTATCCAAGTGACATTTTCTCCAACCAGCTTCTTCCAAACAAATGCAGAGAGTGAGAGGATCAGACTCTCACGTCCTCGGAAGCAGGCTCCCATAATCTGGCCAAGCCACTCATACTTTTCGAACTCCTGACATTGGGGGTTTGGAATGTATACATCACAAGAGACATTAGCATCTTCCTGGATTTGGTTTGGTGCTCGGATGAAGAATGGCAGAGAGACTGGTCCATCCTTGGATGTTGGACACAGCTCTTCTGCCAGGTCAGACAGACTGTCCCTAAAACCACCTCCTTGATCAATGATCCCTTCTGATAGGAACTTACACTCCCACCACTGGTCATGGCGTGCAGACCATCGATAGTCCAGAGGATCAGACGATCGCTCTCGTGGCTTGAGTCCTTCGTACAATTGCATGAAAACAGAGTTTTTGTAATCAAGGTCTAGATGAGGTTCACATCTGTGTTCCATGGCTGCTCTTCGGTTCACATACACAACTGGCTTCTCAGGTGGTTCTGTAGCAGATGCCTTAAGGAAGGTGTCTATGAGAGACAGGCGCTTCTTTGACAGGGGTAGGAGCTGTCTCACTATTTCAAGTGAGTTATACGATCCTATTGAGAACTGCCAAGATGGTACCAGGTGTTGAAGGACACTGTCAAGAATTGTAATGAATCTCTGAAGGCAAATGGACCTTCTGTACAGTTGGTCTGGGTTGTATGATTCAAGAAGAGGAAATCTCACAAGATTCTCCCTACCAAAGAAATCTCTGTCAAATCCAAGGGAACGTTCTTCAGTTGATACAAGCTTGATGGAACGAATTCGGGTGTCTATACCACCGGTCTTGCATTCCTTAATCCTGATCATGACGATGGGATAATGTTCTGTCATGGTGCCCAGCAGAGAGACATCCTGTTGGTCACTCACAGTATTTTCAATGGTTACAGTATTTAAGATCTTTAGATTATCTTGCTCTCCACCTTGAATTACAAGTCGTGATGGCAAATAATTATCATCAGACCCATCAACAGTGATGCTTAATTTTTTAATAACGGTTCCTTTCTTCATTCGCAACTGTATCCAATGCTGCCCTTGGTTACCATCACTTTCCCAGAACGTGTCGGCATCCCCATCTGTCAGATTCAGTGGTCCATCTTCATCACAGTAAGAGGATACATCTATGGACTCCACATAGCTTTTGATGCTCCCAAGTTGGTCATTTTCAGAGGGGAGATGTTGTGACATGAGGTTAACGAGGGACTCATCATGTTCTAGACTCCAGCCAGGTGGAAGAGCCTGCAGCCTGGCCACAGCGTCACGGTCTGCTGCTGTAATCGTCTTGCTGCACACAGGTAACTGTAGCATGTACTGTTGCTCAACCACTTCCTGCCATGTTGAAACATTGATTTGGGGTTTTACCTGGTCTACAGCAGATGGCCCCTGGGTCGGGGCTGGGACAACTGTGGGTGCGTCTTCTGTTGAACTTCGACTGCTGAACAGCAGTAGCCACATATCTATGTCAAACACTTCAGCTTCTGAGCTAGGCGATGCTTGAAACTTTTTCACTTTTATCCATTTACCTTGAGAATCGCATAGTTCCTCGCCACTGACGTATAAGCGAGATTCGGGTGTGCACGAGAACTGACGGGTCTTCTTGGTGCTTTCTTCTGTAAGCGTCAGTGATGTCTTGTGTGGTGAATGATACACAAGTTCTGCTGGGACGTAGCACAAGCTCTCAGGGAGACATTTCCGCGTATTAAAAGAGTCAATGCATTCTTGTAGACATCGTATTCTTGCCAAGCGGCGTCTCGCCTGAGGAATCAACATTTTTGTTACCGAAATCAGGCACCACAGCGCCACTGAATACTCACATTCAACACTTCCGTGTAAACATGCGTATTACAAGCAAGGGAAGTAACCCGCATAATACTTGTAATCCTTTCCATAGCATATATCGATATGCTGCTCCTTCGAACAAGTTGCTAATATGTTGTCCTAGAACATATCCACATAATGAAATTATGGAGTTTTACAATTTATTTATTTACCTTTACAACTAGCCTGTAATCCTACGACGTGAAACTTCAACTCGATGTATTTTTAGTGGTACGAAACAAACTTTACAAAGAGTTATTAATCCTTGTTCTGCCCTTTACTTCCGGTTGAAGTAATACACATAATATTTGCAGACGATGGAAATAATTGATCGAAGATGATCGTTACTTCTGCGTCAGATTGGTGCATAACTGACACATGTTTAGTTGTCCAATTCGACTCAGGTAAAGCAACAGTAAATATCATTTGCAAGCACAGAAGATATAAATATTTTCAGCATTCTGCTGACCTGGCGAGGAACAAGAGTGTTTGAGTTGCAACCAGGGAATAATATATCAATGATTAGAGTAGATGATACCTTTGAGGTTATTAAAAGTGCACTTAGCCAATATTTGGAACTAAAAGCAATATTTTACAATATTTGTGAAACATTTTGCTTTATCAACATTGTATAGTTCAATAAACACAGAGGCCTTATACCATTCTATACAGTCACACCAAACAGGACAAGACCATTTGCAGCTGATTTGCCAAATGTTCTATTGTTCACAATCACATGTAAGTTGTCCGAGAATTGGATAAGATATAGCTCATCTACATAAACATTAGAATCATGTTTGCTTCTTAATCAGTGGCCGTAAGCTTCAATGATTTAAATTGGGAGAAGAATTTGTAGTTTGTGTTTATACATCTGTGGCAGGATCTGCACATTGGCTGATGTATGTGTTTTATTTTTGCATGTGCATGCATTGGTGTCAATATTGCTTTGCCCAAAGCTATGTACAACAAAATTAGCAACACATTACACTTCAACACCTTGTTCTATAATATTGTATATATATACATGTAGAATTAATTTAAGTTCACATCAAAACATTTATGGTGGCATTTACCTATTTGTGGCATAACTCAAAATAACTTTGAGAGTGGTGATTGACTGATCAATCGCAAATCCTCTCCAAGGATGAAGAGTGGGCATAAGGCTTATAATGCTTATGGAAGAGCTTATTCATTGTTGTTAGTGCACTAATCACCATGATCACAATATACTGATCAATCAAGAAGAATGTCCTTCTTCATCATATTCAGTTAATATAATCATCATGATCATACTAATTACCTTGGTATTGCACTATGTGCAGTCAATAATGTCAGTATTAGTACTATTACATATTACAAGCTTAGGTTTGAAAATATGCTTTGAGAATGTTGCTATTGTTGCCTGTCATGTGATGGGTGCAAGATTCATATGATTATCGTATCTTCTTTTGCAGGATGCGAAGACGGAAGAGAGTGCGAACCTTGTTACTATCTGCCCTTGACCGACTCATCTCGTGTTTAGAGTTCTGTCAGGTATAACAAGCTAGAAGAATAATTTGATATTCTGGTGTTTTGGTCTTACAGCACATGGCATCTACATTACCATGTGAGCCAAGTGGTAGACTGAAAAAAAGTTGTCCCTCCATAAAATACAACAAAACGCCTAAGAACTATAGGGCCATATGACAAATTCTTCTTGATGCTGTTTGTTTGTCTATAGGATACCATGTTTTGTAGGCATTAATAATAAAATATGAATCAGCATTTCAATAAACAACTACTTGCAGGTGAATGTGAATATAGGCTGTATCAACTTTTCCATTAAGCCCCTGATTTTAAATAATATCAGACTCTCTGCTATTTCTGCTGGCTATTGGCTAAAGGACCAGCTGATTCCTGGCCAAGCAAAATGCAGTTTGACGCTCTCCTAGGGACCTGCATGTAGTTTTGTAGAAACCTCATCTCTAACCACTGATTTCATTCTGTCCAGTCATTTCTTCAATGTTAATCCAGTATGTGTACATTGCCAGTTTATTGCTTTTTGCATAGAAACACAGCTAGACATTGAAATTATTAGCCTGTGTGGAACATGGACATTATGTAATTTGAGTATTCATTAACTGCCAGATTGATATACACCGTGACATTATGCAAATAGTAGTTGTACAGTTTTTAACAAACACACTTGTAACTAACTGTTTTTTTCGGTCCTGACCATTTGATGAATATATGTTGTATATATGCTATAATGAACTATGGTCATAACAAACTAAAATTAGTGGTCCTTTTGAATTCATTATAATCATAGTAGTAGAAGTAGTAGTAGTAGTAGTAGTAACAAAAGTCTTTGAAAACTCCAGTAGTAGCAGTAGTAGTAGTAGTAGTAGTAGTAGTAGTAGTAGTAGTAGTAGTAGTGGTAACAAAAGTATTTGAAAACTCCCAAACAAGTCAATATTACTTCAGCAAGCATAGATTTCATGTATGGACTCCTTTGTATTAAATATAAAAGAACAATTTGACAAACTAAAATGCATAAAAAAAAATTCATTCAGCCCTCCATTTAAAATGACCAATTTATTTTTACTTGTTCAGAACACAAATTTTAACACAAATAAATTTAGACAGATGATTTAAAAAGCAAAGTTTCATTCAAAAACAAAAAACATTTTGCCATTGATACAAGATTAGTATTGGCTCATCTGTGAAACAAGAAAATAACTCTGCCAGATGTGATTAATGCTCGTATTGTTTATTTTTGTGTATTGTGATCAGATTATGCTGAAGATACACATTATAGTAGTACATGGAGATTGGTTGATACACTTGATGAAGAAGTTGTATGTTTGTGATGAAGGAACTGAGTCAAGGGCCATGGAAGATGTGGCTGTTTGTTGTCCTGATGCTGGGACTGCTGTACGCCAGTGTGTGGAGGATCTTCTTCTATGACCCCTGTGACAGCTCACTCATCAGGAAACAACTGGTGAGTATAATCAGTATATATGTCTTAGGCTCATGTATATGTCTCATGTTGTCATTGTACATCAGACCCGTGAAGATCGGGAGTAGAATAGGTCTTCAGCAACCCATGCTTGCCGTAAAAGGCGACTATGCTTGTCGTAAGAGGCAAGTAACGGTATCAGGTGGTCAAACTCACTGACTTGGTTGATGCATGTCATCGATACCATTTGCGTGGATCAATGCTCATGATGTCAATCACAGGATTGTCTGGTCCAGACTCGATTATTTACAGACTGCCGTCATATAGCTGGAATATTGCTGAGAGCAGCGTTAAACAACAAACACAGACACACACACATTGTACATCAGAGATATAATGTACGATACAAACAGACATTAGGCCACACCTTTTTTTTACTTACTTTATTGATCTGCCGACTGTAAATTTTGTTGAAGGTAAAAACAAAGTTCAATATGTGCTTCTTCTTTTTTATTCTGCCGATAAGCTGATAGCATATTGCACCAGAAAGTATTTTCTAAACAAGGACCCACTAAAGTTGACATGTATTAAACATGTGAGTCAAAATATAGTTTGTATTTGCTCCCAAAATTGATAGGATGCTTAGATCCACAGAGTATTCCCGCTTGATTCGTCAGGTTTGCAACCTCTGTTTAAAGCAGCAGCAACAGATTGCAACAACAGTTTAAATTAACATCTGTGTTGCTGGCTTTCCTCCAACAGTTTAGTTGTTTTTTACACAAACCGACCTGTAGTGGAGGAGATGACGAAAACTTTTATAGTATTTAGCTATTCATTAATATACATCAATCAGAAATACCACAGGTGATAACATGTATCCCTGACTGACACCAGCTGTAGTTTGAGTGAGTGAGTGAGTATGGTTTTACGCCGCTTTTAGCAATATTCCAGCAATATCACGCCGGGGGACACCAGAAATGGGCTTCACACATTGTACCCATGTCGGGAATCGAATCCGGGTCTTCGGTGTGACGATCTAACACTTTAACCACTAGACTACCCGACTGCCCCAGCTGTAGTTTGAAGAGATCAGTATATTTGTATCTTTTAAGTTTGTATTGATAATCATGATCATTTTGTTTACGTCTCAGAATGTTATGATGGGAAACAGATAGTAAGTACAGTAGAACACGGATATAACGAACACGGATAGAGCAAACAAACGGATACAATGAACTGTCAAAAAATCCCTGATTTATCTCCTATATGTTATCATATAAAATTTACGTACATAACAAACTCTCTACAGCGAACTCACAGATATAGTGAACTGATATCTGATCACCGACAAGTCCATCTACCACTAATTAGTGATATGTATAGCGAACTGAGAAATCTCAATCAGTGTCAAGTGTTATTGACAACTGGATGTACGCAATCAGCGGCGAATCAACACAATCAGCGGTGACGATTCAACCTTGTTAAACTTGCATTATGTTAATGTTACCTGTACATGTAATTGGACCGTCTGTGACACAAACATTAAACATATATGAATTTCACAAGATTGTGTCAAAGCATCAGTTCACTTGCACATGCTACAAAATTGAGAATTATTAATGCTGTTGATGCAGGCATAAAAACTAAGAAAGACATTGCAATGGAATTTGACATTTCAAAATCAACATTGAGTACCATCTTTAAGAAGAGAGAGTCCTTTCTCGAATCCTGCGTGTCGACTGACTTTGACCCTGCCCTGAACAGGTTACGAGCTGCCAATAAACAAGACGCCCTCTTCCAGCATCTTCAAGCTGTGAGAAGCGAAAACATTCAGCTTAGTGGTCTGTTACTGCAGACCAAAGCTGATGAACTTGCATTGAAATTAGGCCATGACGATTTTACTTGTAATACCGAGCGAAAACGTATATAACAAACAACATATATAACAAACTGATTTCTCTGGTCCCTTGTAGTTCGTTATATTCATGTTCTACTGTATTATCTTATCTCAGTGTCTCAGTTTATCATCCTTGTCTTAAGTTACTTGTATCTTATATGACTATATAAGATAGCTATGCGATAAATCACAAAGAACAATGAAGAACGAAGCATGGTTATTTCACAACAAAACCTTCTTCTATAATGACGTCATTTCTGGAGATTCAAACATGTGCTCGCAAACTTGATAACATGGTAAACTGGATAATATTATTTTTGAGAGGGAAGTGTCTAGTGAGTTGTTCCCTATTTATGTAGCTGCGCAACACAGATGAACACAATGGCCGAACAATCGCACCCAAAAGTGGGAGAGATATGACAATCCGTAATGTATTAAAGCTTGTAAATTTAGAAGTAAATTGAAGTGTTGATTTATTTGTAACAATTGGCTGCAGGTGTTGTTTTTTTAAATGAGGGCCTGAAGATTTTAGCCAGGGCCTGCAGCTTTTAAAGTCTGTAGGCCCTGATGGTTGTATGGCATTTGTTTTTGTTTCAAACACTGCTGACCAGCAAACAATTATTAGGCTGGGGACTTTGGGCTTATAGTTACAGGTGTCTAACCATGTTGAAAATAAGATATGTGCTGACTGTGAAACACTCTCCTCTAGTCACATGTAGCATGTTGAAGTAAGGTAAAAGTATATCAGAAATCTATATCTTTTCCAAGTGTACCACACAACTTTCCTATTGCCCTTTGGGATTTAAGTGTGCCAATCGAAAGATTATTTCTCATTGAAAAAAGAAATAGGTTACTTGAATTCTGTTCATAATTTTCCGTGCGTTTTTAGATTACTTGTACAAGGGTATATTTATCTCTGACTTTTAATATTCACATGGTATTTTTATAAAACAAAATGTGATTTCTAAATGTGTCGTTGAGGCATCAGGACCCTGTCCCACAAAGCGATCTTAGCGCTGCGATTGTCGTAAGCCTTTGTTAAAGTATGGGAGTTACGATCATCTTGGCACTAAGACTGCTTTGCTGAACGGGGCCCTGGATGTTATTTTACCACTGGCACATAAATACAAGAATTATTGAACCCTGTATATGGATGGTGCTTGTTTCAGTGTGCCCAGTACCATGCAGGAGAGGTGGCTGGTACTCTGTGTTACCCTATGTGTGTACAAAAGGTACAGTTCTTCTCCTATTGTGATGCTACAGAGGAAGAGAAGGTAAGCACTGTCACTGTGTTGGACACTGACCACAATTTGTCAGTGATGCAAAGGACCAGCACTTAGAAAAATCTACTGGTCCTGTTGGATCTCTTCTAGACACAATGGTGCAGACCAAAAAAGGTTTTAATTCGCAGATACTTTATCATATCCTACAACAAGTGAGCATGCGTAATTAGAAAGAGAAACCAGTCAAGAAGGTACCACTGTATCACACAGGGTTCTTTAGGTTGCTGGTGTTGCTTAGAGTTTAGAGTCGATCTATCGCTGATTTCAAAAGTCAGACTTAGCTTACTTTGTTCATCCCCAAAAGAACACTAGACCACCGGACCAGCATTTTCAATTTGTTACTGATCCTTAAGGAAATGTACAAGACTCAGAATAGCGGACGAGTGTTAGTTTCGAAGACTGACACAACTTTTTAAGAAGACCCCAGTGATTCAAGGGCAGAGTAGGTCCCCAGCATCCAATAGGTTGTTTGCTGTAGGAGCAAACGAAGATGAGGATTGAATGCTCACAATGTGTAACTAGGCTGATAGTCAGTTGTTAGAGTATTTGAAATTAGGAAACAGTGCTGTATCATCAGCTTATGGGTGCGAATGGGTGGCCCAGCAGTCTAAGGTGCCACAATTCACTGTATAGTTATAAACCTTAGATGTGCCAGACTGTGCCAGATGTGGGTTTGAATTCTGGCTCGCCCTTTTTGATTCTAGGACCATACTCCTGCTCATGGGTTTCCCCAAAGTGTTCATTGTCAAAGAGCTGCATCACTTTGGGCTCTCCTCTTACATCAGCCTGACCTTGCCCTGATATAACTGAAATGTTTTCAACATGAGCCCAACTCACTAAGTCACTGATGGTTGGAGCTCAAAGAGTAAAGCAGTAGTAGGTCAAGTTTCAACTGCCTGATTTTGTATCAATTTCTGTGCTACTTCTTGGTGTCACGCTTTTTGTTACAAATGGCATAAAATCTTACTCATGCACGCAATGTTAATTACACCCAAGTATAATTGATGACAACCATCTGTGAAATTTTACAGTGTTTAGAGCTCCTTTTTTAGATTGAATGGTATATTTGTTTCATAGCATTTATAGAGTACAGGTTGCCGTTGTCTAAGGTGCCGCAGTTTGCTGTGAAGAGTTGCATCCCTCAGGCATGTCAGGCATGCCAAAAACATATGATCTTGGGTTCGAATCCAAGATTCACCCTTGTGTTTCTTGGTTTTTAGCACCATACCTGTCCTGATGCTTTTCACCAGAGTTGAAAACATCTGACCTGCATCACTTCGGGCTTTCCTCCCACATCCAACTACCATGCTGTGACACATATGTTCGAGACTGTTCAAAACAGAGTTACTCGACTAACTCACTCATTGCAATTGATTACTAGTAGTCAGCTTTCAGCAACACTCATGTGCTAGTTCCATTCTATGAAGAGGCATTGTGTTAATAAACAAGTAGTGAAATTCTGAAAGTGTATTTCCTGAGAATGAACTGTTCTTGGCTGTTTCCATGCATGAGATGCTAATTGCAATGTTTCAGAGTTTTGTGTGGCACCAGACAAAGTTCAAAGTTCAGATGATTGATGAGTCTGTGGCGTGGTGGAGGTTGAAGGAAGGCACTCTCATATCAGAGTTCAGAGGTCAGGTGTCATCCTTCCTGCAGCTGAAACTTGGACATTCCACATACGAGGACTTGACAGACAAGCTCTTACTGTATGCAGACTTCAATGAAGATGGAAAGGTGCATGCTCTTTTCATGATTCATAAATAGTTTTAAACATATATTCAGTGTTTAAAATTAAGCTTGAAAGTCAAGGGGTTGTCATGACCCTAATGTTAAAAGTTAAAGATTTAGGGGGTCCTTGATTCAGCTGCCATAGAAGTACCCTCTTAATTTCCAACACTGAAATTCTGGAAGTGGTAAATCCTGTGTTTAACTTATTGTCTTTAATTTTCTTGTTTCATTTTTTATGTTGATTTTAGAAGTGGTATATCCTGCGTGTAAACTATTGCCTTTGATGTCTTGTTTCAGTTGATTTTAGAAGTGGTATATCCCGTGTTTAACTTATTGTCTTTAATTGTCTTGTTTCAGTTGATTTCAGAAGTTGTATATCCTGGGTGTAAACTATTGTCTGGAATTGTCATGTTTCAGCTGTCTCTGGCAGAAGCACAGTCACTGTGGAGACTCATACACATACAGGAGTTCCTCTTGCTCTACATATTCCAAAAGAGTTCCACATTCCCTAACATTAATGGAACATGTGGCCATTTCTACGGCTTCCAGCATACTCCCATTCCTCGTCTGTATGACAAGCAACCAAACAGCTGGCTCAGCAAATTGTTCACCAACTCCTACAAGTGGGAATTCCCCCGCTGGGCCAAGCGCGCCCGCGTGACACTCGGCATTGTGGAGTTCAGTATGGATATCTATGAGGAACAGGGCACCAAGTTTCTCATGTGTGATATTTCCCCGGTGAATTTCGGCATCACCTTTGACTATGAAGCCATGTTGACAGGCACCAAAGACATTGCTTCTGCATATAGCATCGGGACTCTTCTCCAGAACCGAACATGTTACTCTGATTCGGATTGTGTATACTCCAGACATTGTCGGTCCATGTGTGATAGGAAGGGAAGGTGTTCAGGGGAGATAACTCATCCCACTCTGTGGTTTGTTTGTGATATTATTCGAGACTATCTATTGTTTGATGCCCCTAAGCATCTATATTATGAGTTAAAGAGATTGTTAAGTAAATGCTCATTCTTGTCAATGAAAGGAGATAATCCTGATTTGAAGCATGCTGTCGTATATCATGATCTCAAATCTTTTCTATGGAAAGAAATACAATACAGTCCAGATGCATAGTTAGAATTTGCTGCTTGATTTCACCACAGTTTAATTACTTTTATTTTATCTTGTTGCAGTATGTTGTCTTTTACAACAACAAAATGTCTAGTAATGATATTAGTAATTGGTTCAGGTTTTTAGACCATGCAAATTTCATGGATAAAACCTTCACTTAAAGGGCAAGTAAAGTGAACATAGCGCTTCCATAATTCTCCTTTACCTGAAAGCAAATCCTTTTTTTAAAGTTCATATTAATATCATCACATTTGGGGGGACATTTAGCATGTCCTGTGTTGTATGTTTTGAGAATACAGGTAATAAGTTTTAAGTTGATGTTAATATCAGATTCAGTGAGCTGAGGTGAAATGGGGTTTAACGTCGCGTCCAAGATTATTGCACTTATATAGCGATGTGGATGCACGTGTATGTGTGGCTGCTTGTACTAGTCCGGACTGATGCTGATTTATAGTGCTAGCACACTGAGATACCATGCCGCAGTTTAACATGAATACCCCACTCAGACATATACAGACATATACTGACTCCGAGCCGACCAGTCCTTGTTTTAGTCCCTTAATGCCGAGTGCCAGACAGGGTAACAACAAGTACCATCTTTTAACGTCTTTTGGTATGACGCGGCTGGGGATCGAACCCCGAACCTTCCGCTCTCCGGGCGGACGCTCTACCATTAGACCACGGAGGCGGTCTTCAGATTTAGTGGGACATTTGACATATGCTGTGTTGTCTGGGAGGGTTATGTTGTTGACAGTACATGTAGTTATTATAAAAACCACTTTTAAAGAAAGGATCTTTTAAGAAATGGTTCCACAAGTAACATGAACTATCTCTTTAATGTGATCAAATTTTGTTCACTTGTCACTTTGTTTTATATAAACAGATTTGTAGTTAAATTCAGAAATAGTATTTCATATGTATCTCAGATTTTCTGGAAAGAGGTGTAGTCAAATGCTGTTCATTATATCAACATGATCAACACTGTTTTACATGTATTTGTATTACGGATCCTTGTGTGTTGAGACTTTATTCTCTGAATGTTAATTATTGTGTTTTCAGTCTTTGTTAAGTCGGTTAAACTACCGGGTAAGTATGTTGTAAATTATATCACTAATTGTACCAATGGCTGTATGTTATGTAAATGAGCAATATTTATGATATTTATTTGATAACTAAACATGTATGTGTTCTCCTGTTTCAGCTGTCAGATTCACTGTGAATATTCCAGTGCCAAACTATGAAACATACATTATAACACATAACATTTATCAGTATTTGAAATCAGATCTTGCTGCACAAAGATCTGAGGACATCCCATTACAGGTCACATCAGAACAAACTTTCAGGAACTTTGATCGATCTGTGAAATGACCAAAAGAAAATCATTATTAGCAGCTTTCTTGAGCTTTATGGCACTAGTTTCAAACTGGTCTTCCATTCAAGATGAAGCTTTCAAAAATATTTTGACAAAATTCTCAATTCAAAATTTGGAAACTGAACCAAAGATAATTCGAGTTTGTATGGCAGTACTTCTGTTTCAAATGTTTATCCCATTGAAGCCAGATAGATGATGATTTTCAAGGAATCAGTTATACAGCCTGTTACTGTTTGGGAAGCCTCATGTTGACCTTTTCGAGAAAACACATTCAGACTGTCACTTTTGCAATCTGTTAAGCAACACTCTGACTGATTGGATGGAAGGTTGATCTGACATGACCTGAATGGGATATTCTCAGGTCTCTGTGTAGTGGTAGCGAGAACTAAGATCTGAATTTAATAAGATTGTATTTGAGGTAGCATTTTGTTCCTGCAGAAAATCAAACTTCCCTGAAAATGGTATGAGTGTGGACCTCAAACAATGGATGGCTTCATCTGCATTCAATTAGAAAAAGGGTATTACTGAAACGGAGTGTTAATCTTTAAGTTGTCCTGTTATACAATACGAGGTATTTTGCCTGAAAAGTAATTATATACCATGAGCTATTAATCAAGAGATTTTAACAAGAGACTTTGTGATATGACAGAAGCTTTTTATGTCCAGTAATGTAGTAGCCATCCACCATTGAAGTATTTTGACAACACTTTATCTCAATGAGTTTGCACCACATACTTTTGTTTTTAATTATTTTCAGGGTGGAGGCTTGTAGGAAGATAGTGTGAGATGAACTGGTCTTTATATGATTATCATGTTATTGCTTATGTGCTGACAAACCTAAGGTACAGCTTTTTGAGTAAGGAGTAGTGAAATTCTTATACAACTCAACTAGTTGGTACTATTTATCACAGAGAGACAACATTTTAATGTAATGTGACAATATTTTGCAGCTGAAAATTGGTGTTTCGACAAAGCTTAATAATGATGTTTCTAAAATTTGTCAATTTCAGTGCCAAGCATGATATGACTTTATGGCATAAACTTGTTATCACTTTAACATAATGAGTAAAACTCGAGGTGTAAGAGACGGTTGCGATACGATATGTATCCCAATACTATTGATGCGATACGATTTGTATCCCTATGCTGTACTTTTATTTCATAAGTTGGTATTCTTTCTTTTTGCAGGTGAATGACAACCCTGAATGGTTTGTTTATAAATATATTTCAGAGATCGAATATGGCATATTGTAGGGCAGAAACAAATACTAGAGAATCTGTATGAGCTGTATGTGGATCTGTTTTTGTTATTGTTTGGGTGTTTTACACCAAAATAACTTGTAATGTATCATACGTATTGTGATACAGGGGTTGTACATCAATGTATTGTATCGTGGGCCTCATATTAGGATATAATACTTTAACGCCATAGCGAACACCACTAGAGTTTTATGGATCTCACAACCTGTATTTGTATCTGGTATCTGGTATCTGGTATATGTACAGTAGCATCACGCAGTGATGAAGGTATATCATTGTTGTAAGCTGCCTGTTTGTTCCCTGACTCCTAGAGCTGAGACAATACATTGAAGTCACACAATAAGTTGTAGGCTTTTCCCTCAGGGAATACAATTTGATGTACCTTCTGTGTGGCCGTGTAGCCCTGTTAGCTCATTGTGCATGGTCCACAGGACATCAAACAGTATTGCCTGTTGAATATATACGAACAACAAATTTATTTTGCCACCATAATTTATGAGTGAGCTGACAGGGCTACTTGGCCACACAGGACATCAAACAGTATTACCCAATGAAAATAAACCTACAATAAATTTATGTTGCCACCATAACTTATCATTAAGTACAATTTGAAAAAGAACAGAGATTGGGATGTGTTTGTTTGTAGCCATATTGCCAAACAAATATTTGTACCCTGTGCATCGCGTATATCTAAAGTCATTGTTAACATAGTTAATATACATTACACAACAACGATTCGGAGATTGAACTGACGAGATTACACAGATTGGATATGAATCGGCAAAATGTCTGTTGCCATGACAACATGATATATTTTTTCCAATTGGGGACCACTATAGTGGGGTCATCGAAAGTTATCAAATGTCATTGACCAATAAAATATGAGTACCGGTATTTTACATGTAGCGTAAGGTAAAACTATATATTCCCCATACTCAAGTATTTTACATGTAGTGGAAGGTAATACCATATATTTGTCATACTTTGTATTACTCTAACCTGGAGTGAAAGGGTGTGAATACATTCAAGTATTTTATACAACTCAGGAAAAGTTGTATTCCCAAAAGTATTCTTTGATATTGATATCAAATATTTTATGGCACCAAAACATGATTACCGTATTCGACATAATAAGCGCCCTGCTCTAATAAGCGCCCACAGCGACATTTGCTAAGATATTGGCTAGTGAACAATCCCAATTAGCACCCCTTCCAACTGATCAATGTACCCAAGACTTATTTATTCGCGTATAATACGCACTCGTGTGTTATATATGCGTCCTTAATTATGGGCATTTAATACTGGAAACATATATCTGTCATACATAAACAATTCAGGCTGTCAGCATAAACCACAAATTTTCTTTCAACTTTGTTTTTTTCACCAAAATAACATTCTAATAAGAGCCCCCTATTTCTAATTTTGAGAGCGCCCTGGGCGCTTATTACGTCGAATACGGTAGGCTGAATGTTAGACTGTAACATGTTGTACTGCTATACGAACTTGAGAAAACTCATGACGTGACAGTTGGACCTGCGGACCTGCATTGGTACTCCAAGTAATGCAGTCCGGAGAAATCTTGAAATCTTGAAATTCCAGAAGAAACAGATTTGAGTGATTTCTCTGACGTTAACCATGTTCTGGTGGTATATAATTTCTCTATAATTTTGCATGATGACCTTTCATTGCATCGGTTTTACTTTTTGAAAGTTAGTTCTCAGTGAATTCCTGGCTAAGAATCAACAACAGAGTGACGTCACCGAAATGAATTAAAGAAGGCAAATACTCCTGACTCCATGCCTGAATCTTGTGTGAGTCCCTCCATTGCCTGACCTTGAAGCGATGTGTAGAGCGGGCGCCACAAGGCTGTAGCACATGTTGCATGAGAAAACTTGATGTAATCTGACCACTTATTGGCTTGATTACTCTCTGGTTACACTCTCGCTGGAAAGATCAGCGTAGAATAGGTCTTCAGCAACCCATGCTTCCTTTAAAAGGTGACTATGCCTGTCGTAAGAGGCGACTAACGGGATCGGGTGGTCAGGCTCGCTGACTTGGTTGATGCATGTCATCGTATCCCAATTGCGTGGAACGATGCTCATGATGTTAATCACTTGATTGTGTGGTCCAGACTCGATTATTTACAGACCGCCGTCATATAGCTGGAATGTTCCAGAGTGCAGCATTTAACAACAAACAAGCAAACACTCTGCTGGAACCAGACCACGGCTTGATGCATTGGTTACAAATAGTGACTACACTGTATAGAGGAACCATGTATTCATGGGTGATGGAGGAGCATAGGGATGAAGCAGTGAACTGGGAAACACTAAAGTACTCACGGAAAAGAAAAAAAACTGTTTTTCTCAATTTAAAACTCGACACAAAGTGTTACGTCGCTGTAAATACGAAATAACAAAACAACTCGAAAAGTACTAGTCTGGATTTGCTAGTTTGATCTCAGTGAACAATACAAAATGTACTTTACAGGAGGTAATTTGTCGTCACTTTCAACATTCAAAAATAAAACTAAGTCCAAACTGACATAGCAGAAACAGACTATAGGCATTATGCACCTGTTCTCACCTGTCGTCAAGGTGTCATAGCGAATGGACATTCACCTTGATCTACTTACACCTGGTTATGCCCTGTTTCACAATAGTCTGTTTTATTCACATTTTTACACACTTTTACTTGTAAAAAGGCATAAAAACCTTTGATACGCTGTATTTGTGCCAAGGCCCAATTAGTACTAATTGAGTTGTTGGAATATTTACATATTTTGTATATTAACTGCATTTATTTATGATCTGAGGTCGAAA